AATGTTCAGAAAGAGTTCAGTCATATCTTTCGAAAAGTTATTGAAAGATATATATTATTATGCATAAAACGAACATTCCAATAACCATCTACATATCCGAAACAATTAGTCCCTTTGGTAAATTTCGATAATCCAATGAGAAACTGGTAAACTTCGACTTCTCATTGCATTATCGAAATCTTCATATTTGAGACATTATATAACTTAATAAATGCACAAATAATTGTTGAAGGAAAATAAAGCACGACTCTTATTTGTTTGATTTCATAGACCTTCGAATTACTAGACTAGTTTTATAGTAGCCTACCTACAAGTAAGAATTAAGCGCTTCTCAAATGGCAGTTAGAGGTTTAAAGACTATATTGTGTAGTGATCAACTTTTAATAAAAAGAGTGATGGGTTCTGGCAACGATTTGCACTTTCCTTCAATATCCTTTAGCGTGTTTCATAAAAAAATAATTCAAACTTATCTTCAATGAATGAACATAATTTTATTGATAGATTCAGGTCTACACAAATGATTTTTCAGTTTCATTGTTAACGGAAACAAACAAGCATTTCATGTAAAACAACAATCTGTTTAAAACCATCTTCACGTCAATTTACCCAAGAACATCGTAACTTGAAATAATCACTTATCAAGAACCTTGAACAAATTTTTTTTTCTAAAGTAAGCCACTCGCTATTCCCATGCCTCAAATAAAAATTAGCTGAGTTTTTATACTGGACAAATCGCTCCCAAGATCAACATTAACGGAGATGCACACCTATCTAGAAACTTACTAAAGTATGCTGTTCGATGTTTTAAGATAGCCTTTATTGAAGGATTGATATAAAGGATAATTGAAGGTCTAGTTCTTAAGCGACACATCTAAACTAACCTAAGATCAAACCCAGGCCAATACGGTCCTTAGATGAGTTCAGTTTTGCTCAACCACTACATTAAGATCTGACAATATACTTTTCCCAACTTTTTTTATTTTCCAAAATATTTGATTCTCTACTAACTATAGTAGGTAGACAACTGCCTTACTTTGAACTTGGTTGACTCCATAATTAATAACTTTGAGCTAAATATTTAGGATATCCACCTGGAAATCAGTCAATAATAAACACGATTTATATCTCTGACTAAGGTTAGAAACATTGAGCTCCGATTTACTGAGTGAATAGTATCATGTATGGAGCGAAACCTAAAGACCATGGGTTTATTCTCCGATAGTTCTCTGATTGAAGTCAGGTTTTCACAAATAAACTCTTTAAATTGCACAGGTCTGTACAAGCAACCTAAATAGATATTCCATGTTATTTCATGGATCATGTTTTATGAATGTTCCATTGATTTAAATATAAATTCCAACAAGAAGAACAGATTAAACTCCAAAATAAAAATGAATCCCTCTTCAGGAGTGGCGGTAAGCCGGAGCTCTGTACATTTTTCCCCTATACTTAATAACTGAGAAATCAATTGATTTCATGCTAATTGGAATACTTACTTCCTACTTTTCATTTTCAACATATCATTATTTACTAAATAAAATGATGAATTTAAGGAATCAATCGACTGAATTCTTCTTACTCCAAATAGTGTTTTTTTGTCTATATCGTCTTTTCAAAATTAGTTTTCATTAGTGATTGAAAGATTTTATGACATTTTACCTAAGCTTTTAAAATACAAACCAATTAACACATACGTACACATTCACATACAAAGATAATGAGAAAAGAAAAACTGCATAGATGACTAAAAATTAAAAGGTAAAAAAGTAAAGAATAAATGTAACAAAAGTGGCATATGTGCAAAACGAAAAATGTACGTTCCTAATGTCTTTTCAATGTGTTTGTTTTTATTGGAGAGAAAGAGAGGATAAATGAAAGACGTAGAAGAAATGAAACAGAAACAAACAGTTTTTTACAAAAATTAAGAACTCAAACGAGTAAATACCATTTTGATAATAATTAAACTATAATGGAACGACTAAGTTTGATTCTATAGGCATAACAATTATCAACTTCCAATGTTATATAAGTTTGTGAATTTAAATACTTATACTTATTTAAATATATATATATTAAAACTAAATTTTCCTCACTATTAGTTTCCATTATTAAATTGAGCCATGAATTCAAAATGTAAAGCATCCAACCTTTAAGATGTTGTGTTGTGAGTTTCAACCCCACATCCTTAAAGTATCGTTAGCGTTCAAACGGTGAATTCAGCGCACAGCCTATCCATAGAATTAATAAGGTTTCATATCCATTATGTGCATAATAGTATTCATCTTCGAATGTATGCGATGGAATTACGAATACCTTTTTAGATGTAAGTGTACCTTATTAATGAATACAGATACTAGACTTCTGTTCTGACAATAATAAGATACACTTTGTGGTTGTTACACAAATATTATGAGTAATTATCTCAACAGATTTGAAGCAAATAATATAATCGTATGGTAGCACAAATACTTAGACTTAACTCTTTTTGGAAGCAAAGATTTAAAAGAAATCTAATTTTTCCTTTCAAAATACTAAATCAAATAAATTTCACATCCACTCATCAAATCCAATTTGCAGAAACACCTAGTTACAACATTCATAACTCTTAGTCATAACTCAATCTTTTCTCTACATAAATTATTATACTAGTAAATTTCCCAAATTCTGGAAGGGTTTTTCACAATCTATCCTTGAAATAAAATCACTCCCATCATTTGTTGATTGCATCGATGTTTATCTTCCCTCTGAATCAGCCTTAAAAGTGAATACAATTGTCTATATCTTAGTCCACGAGTGAAACTAAAGGATGTTTGATCATTGTTATTATTGAGTGTACTTGTTGAACATGCCTCGTGAATATTTTACACTTACATCTCCTTTGACTAACTTAATATCTATCTCAATCGGTAGATCATAAAACAACTAAGCACTTGTACAATGACAAGCCTATCACATTAATTTTTGCTGCTTTTGTTCCGTACTCTCTGTTTTGTTTCGTTTTTTTAACTATAGATGACTACGATTGCGCTGCAGTGACATTGTAAACGACCTGGAATAAGTTATTCATACATCAACAGAACCCTCTAGTCAACCTACAAAAAATTACTTGCTCCTAACTGCTGCCTCAAATTGTTGTAATTCTTGCAACAAATGTTTTTTTTAAATAATTTATAAAGTGCATCATTTCAAACAATTGAAACTCAAATCTCTATCCTTCACGTGTAACATATTTTTCAGCATCAACTTGATTATGCTTTTAAATTGGCATACATTATATATTCATTCCATTGTCGTAACATTAATAACATTCTACAATCCAAGTCAATCAATCAGTCAATATCATGGAGAAAACGGACGTTAGTTCAAGTCCCCATGCCACATCAGTACGGCGAAACGAAATTAGTGAAAAGAGCAGTAAGCAAATGAAATAATGTTAGTGTCAATTCAAGCAATAGATTGGTTCAATCAATAAAAAACTAATATTTATCTTAATCCATTCAGTTAATCGATATTATGTGGATGAAAAACAGTTAAAATAATTACAATAGTAGAAAGCTCGTAGGTTTTTCCTATAGGATTTATATCAGGTTAGTTGATGAGAAGACAGGAAATTACAGACATATATATATATATATATATATATATATATATATATATATGATTGAACAAAAAACTAACCCAAATTCCTGCCATTACCCAACCTATAACTAAATATGTCAAACATTGTCAAACATCTAATTTACAATTAAAATATCTAAAGATATACTTAATTACTGTATAACAAGCTAACTTTAGTTAAAGCACTACCGATAAATTACGAAGTACTATGCATATATTCTGTCTTAACTCACATGTCATTAACAGTATGGTGTCATACTCCCCCTCACGATCAAACTTTCGACCTCAATAAACAACATATTACCCTGAGAAACACAGGGCTTCATGTCAGTGTCTAATATTGTCAATCGTAGTTAATTTAACGTATAATTTGACTTGTTCTCAAACAACCATGACAATATACTTTATCGACAATATGAATCGTGGTTTTCTATTACCATTTCAAACAGATTTATTTGGAGTTGAAACTCAAGAGTATTATGCTTAGTCCTGATGCTCATCATGTATTTCAATATCTTGGCCAGATATTTTATTTTCTTGAATGAACAGGAACTTAGAATCTGTTGCCAATGCTGTTACCAGTTGAAATTGATCGGAATGACTTTACGACTAACATATTTGTTGCAAGTTCTAAGAGTTCATGTACAGAGAGTCAGTCATTCAACCATAGGAAATGAAATGAAAGAGATGCTGATTAATTTGTATTATGTATAAGGTTTCTCTTTCACTAGTATTAACCATAAATTGAAATAATCTTTACTTCAACTGAATCTTTTTCAATCCAATAATTTGATCTCTATAAATTGTTTTTAAACACTAAGTATTTTCGTTAATATTCCATAACTGTAATAATATATCAATTCCATTTGCAATGAACGAATGAATTTCTACTTACCATTGTGAAAAATAATATACTTAAAACAATCACTAATTGCTTTATTCAGTAGTGTGAAAGTTTTTATTCTAAAGATAATATCTTCTGTAAAAGCTTGTCTTGAATGAAATAAGGTGAACATTAATAGTATTTTACAAGAAGTGAAGACTTTTTTATACTAAAACTGATATAGTGTTATGAGAAATTTTGTCCAAATTTAAATGAATAGTTTCACAGTAGTTATTAACATGATTGGATGACCTGTTTAGTACACAGTTAACCGGAGAACTATGTACTTATTTATATTCAATAATTTCATTATTTGATTATATTTCGTTGGAAAAGCTTGAACCTGATTGCTGAGCGAAATGTTTGATTTACTTAAGATTTAATCGTTGAGATTTTATGAATATGATTTCTCCTCCTTAAGGATAGAGTGTAAACTGATTTGTAGTAATTTGGAGAAGAAAAATATTGCATCAATCAAATTTTAATAATGATAACTTACATTTAGAATATAATGCCAGTAAAAGTGATACACCTGCAGCCACCATTAAAACAATCAATGTTACATCCTGTAAAGCTTCCCACATAAGTTGAAAAAAACTTTTTGGAGGTGTTGGGGGTATTATATTGGTCCCGAAGACTTCACGACGTCTTGCTAAATCATGACTTGATAATCCTTAAAATTTAAACAAAAAAAAGAAAATTCAATAAAATCATCAATAAACTGTAATTTAAGAAAATAAACAATATAGTTAAATAATGATAATTTATTTCTAAATTATCCGTGGGGCATTGTCGTTTTCATATACACATAAATTTACTTGTTATTTTGATTTAAGGAAAGAATGTCGTATTATTTCATGTTATTTGAAATCACATTTTATAATGAATCGACATTGAATAGGAAAGGATTGAATACCGAAGATCAATGAACAAATATTTTTCCTTGGCTTGAGACTTATCAGTTATGCACACCTACAGTTCCACGGGCAAATGAACCAAAAAACTTTCAGCAGTGTGGCAATCTATATCACTCCGTTTATTTTTCCTTAATATAAATGTATTACTAGCAACACTTAAATAAAAATGGGCACTACTATACTTCATCATGAAAGGAATGGTTGAAAAAAATCACATTACAGGTTTACCTACATAAAGTATTCTAAACAATCAATCAAGACTGTTTGATACATAATTATCAAAGTTACTGTTTTTTAGATTTTATTAGGCTGACAGATTATCGGAGCATTAATTTCAATAATATATCTAGAAGATATAACTTTCTTAACGGAACTAAAGCATTTCAAAGCTCCACTCTATTAGAAAAAAAATATTAAGTGAAATAAGCTTTCACCAACCAATACGTGACTCATTTTTTCCATTAAACATGCTGTAAAGTTAACCCACTACTAAGTTACATACTAATTTAAGACATTAAATTTAACTGAGATTTGTCTTTACTATTAAGATAAATTATAAACTAGGAATATAAATAAATCTTCCGATCACCAACTCCTTAAAGTGGAAATATAACAAACATAATTTGTTTCCTGTAATAAAAATCGTAAACTGGCTTTACTTCATCAATTGAGGGCTTCTCACTCAAATAAAGACACTGATGTAAAATTAAGCAAAACTTCACACACTGCACAATACAACTAAGCTTATCTGCTAACTTTGGGACAAATTGGATTTTTGTCAGTCTTACAATCATCTATAATAGATTGTTGAATCAGAAAAATGAAGGAATCCTGTCAACATATTGTATTAACACTATGTAGTTATCTGTTAACCATATTATGCTCTAAACTAAATGTATAAATCCAATTTACTGGATACGTCTCCCTAGAACAAATAAACTAAGGAAAATAAAAGCAAAGCCTCTTGAAATTAATCAAATGTGGTAAAGTATCGAAATATTTTCTTTTACAATCAATAATTCATATTTTATAAATCTAAATCATTCATTATTTACTTGATAGACATTCACTCACTTTGTTTTATATAGAAAATAATCAAATCTGTATATCAACCTAAAAGATCATATTAAAAATAACTAATTAAATAGTAAAGTAATGATCGACGAATGGACGTTTACTATTATTTAACAATAATGGCCACCTAGATTTAATTTGAAAATTAACTCATTGAAATAGACAATACGTTGAATGACATTTTGTTTGACAAAAAAAAATATTTTTGTTCCACAAGCTGTTATTTATCAGTAAAAGAAAAAAGAAGTTTCTGATTTTTAAAAAGAGAGAAACAGAATGATGACAAGTTTGAACTAATCACTTCTTTGATCTTAGATAATCTAAAGAATAAAAATAACTGTTCATTTAGAAACTAAAAGTCGTTTTTTTTTATCTTTAAAGCTTTTTGCTTAATAATATTAAAATTAACAATTTATTTTTAATATTCTAATATATTTGTTATCTAATGTCTTGACTTTTATTTTCTTTTAATAAGTATTGTTTCAACCTCTTTAAATCTAAGAAAAATTTTTGAATAAATATATATTACAAGCTGTAATGAGTTGAAAATCTATTAAAAACCAAGAAACACTGGAAATATGTTTCATCATCATTTAAAAGTATTCATTCAATACACATCACAAGTTTGCCATTGAATCAAACTTAGGTCGTATAATGAAAATGGTACCATTGAAACACTGAGTTGGAATTAAATTTGCTAAACTGTTTAACTTGTCAATCAGTTGTGTACTATGACTATGATACAATGTTATGGATGAGTGACTGACTTAATTCTGATTTATTTGTAGTGAGTCATTAATAAACTATTGGATTTACGTTCATTATTTCATAAGGTACATAAAAATAAATTTAACACTTATAAAACAAAGAGCCAAAGGTTTACAGTTATAACAACCATATATATATATATATATATATATATATATATATATATATATATATATATATATATATATATATATATATATATATATATATATATACCATTTGCACAACCTCTGTCCTACTCTTATACCCATTTGTAGTTACAAACTATTATGTTTACGAATTATCATTTCAAAAGAAAATTGAGACTTACTGGTTAGTTATGAATAGCTAGTTTTCTAGTTATTCTCTCTTTCTAAGGGCTGGTTAGTAAAACCCGACCAATTTATTTAAAGTGGTACTTGTTAAACATTAAAATATCTTTTTCATCATTTAAAACAATGGTATTTAAAATCTTTGTTGATCATAAAACTTTATTCAATATACTGTTAACTAACTTAATTAACTTCTGAAGTTTCAATAGATGAGAAAATTCACTGAATCTGCCTATCCATATAGAACATATGAGGAATTAATAAAGTGTGTTGTTACTCAAAAAAGTTAAGAATCAGGTTTGAAGAGAATAGTGACATGGCCTTCTGATTCTAGAGCGTATCTTCTGGCTTTCAGGAAAATTAAAATAAGCTCACGTGGTACTTATTAACCTAAGTCAAGTTAGTTTCAAAAACGTCATACTGGAAATCATTAGCCGCTCGTTCATAATGAATACCTCTGAACAAAATAAAAATTTAGTAACGCATATTAATTAAAAACATTTTCTTAATTACGATCTTTACACGTCATCAGAACGTAAGCCCGATCTTTCTAGTTACCACTCAAATGTAAGCTCAAACTATCAAATGCATTTTTGGATAGTAAAATAGCGTGTTCCTAAAAATATCTTATTTTTATTAAGTCATTCGCCAAACCAACTGAATCGCTAAGCCACAAAATCAGATTATGCTTCCAACCAATATCGACAAACAACTAAGGCATCAATCAAAATTTTCCGACTTCTAGGCAACTCATGATTGCATCTTCGTGTGTTTCCAACTGCCATATCTGTATTCCAGTGTTCGAACCCAGTTTTCTTCTGCAAAAAATATCTTGTACTGGTTTTAATAATAGCTGCCATATTCAGTCTTATTTTTCAGTATTAACAGCAATCAGATTTAAGAAACTGGTTGGCTTATCTCATATATGGTTGAATTTTTCAATAGTTTAAAAACAACCATCAAAAGCCAAGTAAAAATTTGCACTGTATTAGAAATAACCGTTAAAAATATCTGAGTTTCAAAAGACCTACGTGACACAGGTGTATCATTAATAACTATTTCAGCAGCATTTACGAACGACATATATTCATAACTTTTTGTTACCATAATAATTAGTGGCAATAAATTTTAAACAAATTAGTGGCCCTACCCTAAAATATTTTACTTTTTTTACCATCGCTGAAACCAAATATTTTCCCTTAAATCTAGTCGACTAAATGTTCCTACACCTTGAAGAAACATTTTCGAATAATTTTTTCGTACCACAGTCTTATTCAATTGCGTTCGATTTAACTACTTCTACTACATGATCTAAAATTGCTAGTTTATTTCGTTGATGATGGGAATTTTTATTCAACAGATATCACTTAAGTAAACCTATAATGACATAAACCGCAGATATGACATTTCGTATTATCACCCAAAACATCCAAGCTCATAGTTCTAAAAGACAATCAAATATGACAAAACGACGCAAACTCACAAGAGCTCTACTTGAAAACAGGTCAATATTATTTTCTCATTCATAACTTTTATATCACTCGCTGTCTTTTACTCATTTAAATTATAACCGAAAGACGAAAACAACTTATATCACGAGACACAGTTCTCATTTGAGAATAATTCCTCACTTAGTATTCACTCATTATATCAAGGTCTCACTGTTTTATTTTTTCTTGTTAGGAATAATCTTCAGTGGTTATCTAATGATTGTTAATCAGGCCCTACAAACTGTAAAGTTTTGCAAGTTTAGTCAGGAATGGAAACAAAACATAAAGTTGAGGTAAACGTTCTACTAACAAAATTTCACTTTCTGTATCAGATATCAGAAAGTATGTAATCTCTCAACGATGTGAAAAGATAAGTTCATATATTATCTTCTGCTTTCAAACTAATAAACTTTGTTTGAATCTTTTACTTCTTAAATTTATCAGGTAAAGAACTATAGACGTAGATTGGACCAGTAACGTTCCCAGTTTAACCGTTATATGTGTTTACGTTTCGTAAAAATGGATACAGCTACATATATCTGGAGAGACAAACAATGAGAAAGCATTCTGAAACGTTTTATAAAACTGCAATCAAAGAACAAACCATAACTTTAGACAAGATAACGTACTCAGCACAGTATTACAGAGAACGCAACTTGAGTTGATATCTGCAATTTCAAGTAAATCTTAAATTATTTATTTCTCAGTTGGAAGTAATCGGCTGTTCACAAACATCTCAATAAGAAATGTTGAGAATATTAAAATGAACTTCATGAATGCTTCACAATATGTGAGAACCAATGGTGGCTGTAATTTAAATCTTTTTGAGAACTCCATTGCAAAACGACTTGGGCTTCACAAAGTTTATAGTTTCGAAATATATCAAAGATTTTTTACATAAATTCTAAGTTTTGATCGTCAAACTTAGTTACTCAGCATGAATTCATCAGTACTTTTTCTTCATCTGTTGGCTGTAGTCGAAAATGTTATGTAGGATTCTAGCTTACGAGTTGTACATCTAACTGTGCTACCATTCATTAACATTTTAATTACAGCTATGGCTACGCCTATAGTCAGATATGATTCTGTTTGACCAAGTGAATAAATCAAATTTCGATAGCTAGTTAAATGTGGATGGAAATGATTGTTTGCATTTGTAATCAAAATTTTGACAGCATTGTTCTTAATAAAATTGATTATTTACCCCTTCTGACTCCTTTTTGACAAACATGCCAATAAATAGTCACACGCAGTAATTCAAATATCGATTTTTATTTTTGCTGTATAAATCCTGTTTTGTTGTATCGACCTGTGAAATTAATTTGAAGCATAATGACATCTGATCATTGAGCTCTTCAAAAACGATATTTGACGGGCATAATTGGGTTTGAGTATGAAAATCGATATCTTAGCTCTCAGAAATTGGAGAAAGATTGAGGTTATTGATTGCAATTGACCCTTACTAGTTTACAGACAACCATTTGGCACAAACTAAAACGTATATACCTGTCATACACTTTTCAATACCATTATCTTTGTAGTAAATGTATCATTAACAAATTAGTTCTGGAACCAATAGGCTTTGTCATGAATTTTGAGAACTTTCACGATTAGTTTTCAGGAAAAATTAGTACTGGGAACGTTATTCAGCCACTGAGTTAATAAAACCAAAAACGCCCAAGTCAGTAAACCTTTTATGATGCCTTAATAAGACCTGTTCATAAGCAAGCATAAGAAAGTAGACAATTATTTCTGTGCTTAAACGATCCGTATGGTTATAGACCACTGCGTCTTGATATCATCTATGAGTTTTATGAAATAAAGTGATTTGATAGCTTCTCTGATTTAGTAGTCAGTAAAGAGATCACTCCTTAATAATCCTGAAAATTCCGGTCCCGATATTCTACGGAAAAGCAACAGTAGACCGCTGAGAAGGCTCATACACGCACGAAACATATGTTTAATTCAGATTAATTTTCAATGGCTCTGCAGACAAAGTTATTCAGTGACTAAATTTATCTGCAAATTACTTACGATGACAGAAGACATAAACGATTTAAAAGTAATGTAAATGGTTAAAAACGGTTATAAATAAAATTTAACATTTTTTAGTAATTTAATTCATTCCCCTATCTTGTTTTACTTAAAAAGCCAGCTCTTAGAAGACTCCAAATAATCTGCTTAATTATAAGGTACACATCCTGATTAAGTATTGTGGGAGTTAATGTTCCCATATTCTAATGATAAAATCGTTAAACATAATTTCAAAATTAAATCATTACTTCAAAGCACCAAAATACTTAGTAAAAGAACTAGTAACCAGATGATAAATAAGTAACTGAAAAAGCTTATCTGACATGACGTAAATTGATGAAAATACAGGCTTTGAAAAAAACGCCAACTAACCTTGAGTTGGAGAGGTTTTAAGACGCTTACACAATCCAGAAGCTCCACCAAATCGTTTATTCACAACTTCAACTGCTTCAGCTCCACGCAACTGCATAAGGCCCTGCAGTTCCTGCGTAGAGCAACCAAAGTCCGTAGAAGAATTATTGCTGTCTTCGGCGGAGAAACGTTCACGCATTTTTATATATTTACTCAGATGGAACAGGAAGTAAAATAATATTATGTCAATTAAAATATTATCCTTAGATCAAATATTAGTCCGAATGATTTGCAAGGTAACCAGATTAACATAGTTTTGCATTAAAGCAAATTCAAAAATCAGTTTTATTATGTGGTAAGTGAATCGTAACGTTAGTAACTCTCGAACTACTTCAGGGTGACTAAATCTCCCGCAAACTCAACATTCGAAACAGAGATTTAAAAGTTGATGTTTGTTAAAAGATTTAAACAAAATAAAATTTTGCTAATTTATTACGAGTTCAATTAGGTTAGATGGCTAAAAATTCTTTCGAAATAAGTCACACGATTATGTGCATACATACAAACTTTCACCTGATGACAATGTTTTTAATAGGTGTATTGTTTCAACAAATTAATTTTTATTAGTTTTTAGCTGAACGTCGTTTATCTTGTAATGCTACTACTGTTGAAGATAATGGTAATAATTTAGCGGGATAGCAGAATTGGACGAATGATTCAGTGCACAGAAGGTAGCACCAAGTAACTGTTCAACGAAAATCTGTAACTATCAACGTAGACTGATCCTTTGACAACCTTTCTAGAATATTCGGGACTGTTTTCAGTACTTATTTGATATCTCATCTGTGAAAGTTCATGCATTGCCCCTTACCTGAACGTGACATTGTCTTCTTCGAAGGCAGCTCTTACCAAGTCTTTTTCCCTGATTGTTAAGGCACTCGATGGAATTTCTTGTACAAATACTTTTAATAATGTTTCGGTCTCACTTTCGATTGTACCCTAAACTTTATAGGGTACTTCGGTATATCCTTTTAGATTTTAACGGCCATATTCGATGTTGATAAGGAGTTACTGAGGACCTCTATTGTTTATAGTCCATCAAGAATTCTCATTTTCCTTCCTATCCATAGTAAATTGGGTATATGTCCAATAAATTCACGGCTACTATCACGATATACAAGCAAACAGCTATTTATAGCCAAGCTCAATAACCCACCGCTATTTTTTCTAACTAACTCTGTGATTAGAGTTTTGATAGTAAGGCTTTTAACAATCTACCTACTTCTGGAACAATTTCTAACGTCTTCACTCTTCCGTGGCTACTAGTATTTACATCTGAATTCATCCGTTATTTTGTTTTGACTTCTACCCCCCAACTCTTCATGAAAATCAAGCAGGACACTACCGTCAATGAATTGTGGAATTATGATTTGTTTCGCCAATAACTAAAATATAATACGCTTTAATTATTGCCGACCAGGGACAACATTCTGCCCAGCCCATTTTTTATATATCTTCTTAACGAAGTCACAGAATCTGATGGTTTTAACTACACTGAATTGATAGTATCTCTCTATTTGTTACTTGGATCTTAACTTAGTGAATATCTCAAAACATTCTCAACCACATAGTATTTCCTGGTAATGAGACACACAAAGGATATGTTCATTGAAATTTAGTTGCTCAACTCTACTAGGTTTCTGAGTTCCGCCAGACCGACAGATTTATAGAACCCAAGTCAAAGATAGGTATTAGTCAACTTTTTATTATAGTCAGCAAACATACCTAGACTAATGTAAGACTTCCAACGATACGAATGCAGTTGAAGATGCCACAAGTATTCAGCGTTTAACAACGCTTTAACCAGTAACACCTAATATAACTCGTACCCACCAAGAGAAATCAAAAGAAAGAATCGAGGAAATTGGAAGATATATTTGATGACTATTAATATGTCGAGAATCGTCTGATCAAATTTGGCTGGCGATTGCGGGGGATGTTGAGCGCGGCGTTCCCACTCGTGATCTGGTGCGGATGCATGACCGGGCGCCTTCAGATAAGTGAGTCGATTGAAACATGTGGTCAGCATCCAATGTCGAACACTTACAGAGTTATTTATACTGGGGATTTATTTACCGCTACACAATGTCACGTTGAAGTTACGTGTTTCTCCATATTGACTCACCGTATCGCGGCAAAGAGGAAAACTGCTTTGTAGAACCTCATAAGAACACGTTTTAGCTGATGATAACACCGTATATTCAATATGATGAGAAGTGATTTATATTCACCACCTGCGTTATCGAGTTATACGGTCTCGAAGATTCTCTTTGCGTGGCCTTTATCGATCATTACTGACTTTCGTTGAGTGTCTAGTGGTGAGCATGAATCTACAGTTATCGTACGATCAACTTCAATGATAATTTGTGTTGATGGTTCAGCACTGTACCTTTGTCACCACAGATTAACTTCGATGAGTTATTCAGTAACATGGTCCTGGCTATTTCGACAGTGTGATGCCAGTCTGTGTAGATTATACCTCGTCAAGCTGGTTTATTAGATCGTTGCACTAAAAAGCTTCCGTTTTTCCTGTAAAATCACGAAAAAACGCGAGACTACCTAGCCAACTATTAAAATAGATCGAATTTGGTGATCATTTCTCTTTTTGCGAACAAAAGATAAGTTGAAGTTGAGTAATAATATCACTCCTGCTTAATCCTGCCAGATTGAAGCTTACATGGCCTGTTTCGCCTAAATTCTGCTCTGAACAGTTCTTGAAAGACGGCCAAACGATACATTCGTAACTTGTGACCTAAATAAAAAGCAAATCGAATTCCAACTGACGTGTAGAAGGTTTGTTCGTAAATCATAAGTAGCCACCCCAAGTATCTTGTTTAAGTAATATGTAGAGCGAGTGAAATGCCGCTGAGCAGTAGCGAAATCATCAGCAGTTGAGTCACTGAATATCGAACAGTTCATTTATCTCTGTCTAAATCAAGGATAACCAGCGCACGTCAGTTAATCGTACGTCATGGACTGGCCAATGCGGTGGTGGTCGCACATTCGCTTGTACCTACTTTTACTAATATATCTCTGTAACATCTCATTTTGTGTTGTACGTTCTTTAAGGCAGTAATAGTACCATGGCACGATGAAGGGATGAACCTCATTATATTCTGACGGCGAGGTGCGACTTTGAAGTTAGCTGTTGGTCAATCCATTCCTGTCAAATCGAGTAGGCCACCAAACATTCGACAGAGATCATCTATGTAATTGATTTACAAATAATTATCGCAAGTTTGGCGCAAAATCATTAAGGCACCAAATCAAATCAGTGCGAAACCGAAAATGTCCATGGTCAAAAGTATAAACAAGCAAGTTCAGTGATTGAGTAGAACAAATATAACAGTTAACAGTCGGTTAAACATCGGTGGTTCCTCCCATAACAGTGTCTTCTTTACGCCTATTGCATAGATTAGTGGATCAGACACCATCCAAATTGTCTAATGTTACCAATGCCAAGTTTGAACTTGATAGTTTCAAATACATTAGGATTTGAGTAGAAAGTTGATCACAAATATACTATGTCCAAACGAGTATAAAATTTGTACTTCTGGCATTTCGTGACTCCACGTAGGTCGCTTCTTCAGAGTAAATAAAAATTTGGTGTCAAGAATTCACGAAACGTCAGAAATTCAATTATTCTACCTATTGAGATATGACAAAAAATATATTCATTATTAATTTTCGAAATTGGTTTCCTTTTGATATATACATTCTCCACTAAATTAGATGACTCATTGCTCGAAGGTTGAGACCATACATATATCTATGCTACTTCCTAGTAAATGAGTATTTCGGTATGTCATATCCGTAGGAGTAAAATGTGTTCTCCAAAGGTTCACAAAAGACATGATGCTGATTTCTGCGTTATGATAAGTCATTATAAACGAAGGTGTGACTTCTACGTATGATCTTATAGATCAGGTAGTCATTTCATATTAAGTTCACAATATTGTATTAGGTCTACTTTCGTACCATAGTAGCGACCTAGACCTATGTCCTACAAACTTATTACTTTGGGTGATTTTTACATCTCAGTCTTCAGTAATAACTATAGCAGGTCCGTAAACCTATGTTAATCCTCGTAGCTCAATTACCAGTTGATCCAGCTTCCCGATGAAAATATTCACTGGTGGGGTTGATACCACTTGTTTGGGTAGTCACTGAAAAGAAAAATAAGAAGACCTAAGCTGACACCCTGCTGTTCACTAGTTTTGATCAGCTCTCATTCATAGTATCTCATTTACTCTCATCCTTTATCTTCGGTCGCGGAGAAATTTTCTTATCCACTCTTGTACGGGACCCGTTATTTCAAAGATCAAGAGCTCTGCATAATACCTGGGTGAGAAACCTTATTAAATGCTAAGCTAAAATCCGTGGATCACATATCGATAAACGAAACTTTATCTCTGCCTGTTGCCTTTTGCTCTCCTTCCATTAGCTATTTAAAAACGAATGCTTATTCTGAACCCCGTGTTGCTCAGAAGCTAACAGATTGTATGATTCTAGGACACTTGGTAACTTAGCCAGAATACGTTTTTCAAGTGGCTTAACTACTATGTTGATTTGACTGACAGGCATGTAGTTACACACGATCTGTCTCTTCCCAACCAACAAAACAGCGCTCGTTTCAAAACCGTCAGGGAGTATGAACAGTTCAATGACTAGACAAAGAGAAGTCATATGATCCTTGTTAGTTAGTCTAAATGTCCAAAAGTACATAAAATAAGGCTATTCAATAGGTCGTAAACAGATGTTCACAGTTAACAGGATAGGTCAACTTGGAAAAATTTCTTTGAGTTATATGCAACTGTATCACCATATAGCTACCATCTATCATAAAAGCTTGTCGACTAGACAGGTCGTCTTATTTTCATTTTGATGCAAACAATTAACCAGCTAAATCAGTCAGCCGAACGCAAATGATAGTGGATATGTTGGTTGTCCATCCTTGTCTCTAACTTCATTGCTTTTCCGTTATTCGCACGCTATTTCGACCATATGTAATGTGCATCAAGCTTAGCTGAACAGATTTTGTACTAACCAGTCAGCCAAGTTCCACATATACCTACTATTGTGGTGTATGCTATTTCTGCTGACGGACATAAGTATTATGTAACACCAATCAGAAGTAGAGTGCCTGCCAATAGAAGGTTGGATTGAGAACAGCAAGGGGAACGGATAGCAATTATAATAACAATAAAATTGAAACAATAGTAAAGCATGCAAACGACGACCGAACGAATATGTGATAATAATGTGTTTAATGTGTGGTTTCCATATTTTACCAAAACACTGTATAATTTTGCGTGAAAAAATAAATCAGTTGTCCCCACCGAGTCCTCGTCCACTGTAATGCTACCTTTACTACATAAATGCGAGCGCTTGAAACAGTCCTCCAGTTGATTTGACACTCGCATTTTCATACCACTATTTCACAGAGGGATTTGGCGAAGTAATACTGGGGAGTTTGAACGGAGAATTACATCCCTTCAGGAAGATCTGACTCCAATTCAAAGTTAAGCGACCAACTGTGATTTGGTTCTTAATCTCAGAGAGCTTATGGTGGTTCATATGGGATTCGGTATCAGCCTCTTACATACTCCTAGGAGCTCCCCATTATAAACACACTTTAGAGTTCTATAGGACTTATGTCTAAGCTAGATCCTAACAACAGCCTCAAACGATGTGACAGAACCTCCCTGAGCGACGGAACTCCTGGCTGCTGAAGAACTCCAAGAAGTATAAGCAATTCAGCAATGAGATACTCAGCAGACTTATGGTTATCCTCAACACAACTGACTAACAGAAACAGCTGCCATCGACCACAAGACTGTAGACAAATATCAGCTATGAATGGCATGATATTTGGATAATCCATGTTAAAAAGGACTGACTGATCTAATAAATAACCGAAAACTATTTTTATGGGTCAAGAATAGCGGTACATGTAATCATCATTCGTGAAATATTATCATATAATACTCAAGCATTGGAAGTCGAATAAAGCCGGTTGAGGGATAAGTTAGTCAAGTCTGCTCCACCCATAATGGCTTGAAACTATGTGAATAGTTACACCAGTTCAAGGCCGTTATAGTCGAAAAAGCGCAGGATTCGTTTTCTTTCCACCACATGGTAGGTTTGGTTACTGTTCACGATATATATATATATATATATATATATATATATATATATATATATATATGTATATATATATATATCGCAAGATAATATGTAACTATCTGTTCATCACTATGTTTATCGGCCTTCTATCTGAATTACTTAATTCCGATGTGTTAACTGTAGTTAACAAGTAACGATCTCAACATATGTTTCATAATTACTTTTGATAATTCTACGTTGTATTCTACTTCTATTTGGAAACAGATAGTCATTATGCTACGCTGCTCATAAGCTAGCCCCAATAGTGGTTTAGCATAGTGAGCGAAAGCGTTTTTTGATCGAGAACATTGAAGTCTGTAATAAAGCGATGTCGTTAGAGTAACTTATGGAAAATAAAAAGCACATTCGATCTAAGTTCGTATCAGATTATTATGTAATGAATAGTGGCGAACAGTTCGGCACAATTTTTGACGCCATTGGGGGAGCTGCTGCTAAACTTCCTGTACACCTTAAGATCCAATGACACTGCTACTGTCAAACGTTTATTCATCGATGACTAGGTTTACAGTCTAAATATGTAATTGTGCCAAAAATTCGTAGCGGTTAGTGTCAAACCAATCTACTAGCTAAAACTTGTAGTCTCAAAATGATCGGCAAGTGATACTGTACTAGACTAGTCCCGCGTCATGCGTTTGTCATACTTCCGGAACTCAATATTTTAGCATGGCTATCCACTTAGTTTTAGCTACTTAACATTTTGGGATTCCACACAACTGAAGCTATCGAAAAGTGCCAGAGAATTAGACAGATTTGAAATATAACTGTTTGTATCAAACAAGTCATTTGCTTATTGTTGAAACAGACACCGTATTCTTATTCACTAAGACGACATTTAACTGTCTACTGAACATTTTTCCTGGAATTTTTGTCACTAAGAGGTTTGTACAATAAAAGTGTACCACTATAGTGCGAACTATATTCAGACATCGGTGATTAGTTCTTAACTTACGATCACCTATTCAAACTAGCTGCTCGTAAAGTGTTAGTCAAGAATCGATTCTTGGTCATTTTCTCAGAATTATACTCCAGAAATAAGCTTTTATCTATCCGGATCTTTAACAATCGATCTATTTGGTGACTTTGATCAACTCAGGGTACACAGCAAAATAGCCGTATTCGGTAGTGCTCGAAAAGATACAATTTTCTAAATATCTCAACAATCTAAAAACGCTTTAGGTGCCATTCTCACTGGAAAAAATAATGAAACACTACAGGTATTATGAAATATTTATGAAATGGATATTATTATACTCGGCCTTCAATTACGTTTTATGTAAGTAATAAGTATGCTGAATGAATGCTCAAACCAAAGTAAGTAAAACGGCCTTTGATCCTAAAATCATATGGTTGAGAGTTACGAGTTGTTTCAGTAACTGGACACAATCACTGCTTTGTTTGGGGATAAAAAGTAATATAGTGAGTCGAACAACTTGCTTATCCTGATGGTATTGTTGACATTATTCAGTTGATGTTTGATCAAATCTGGTCATATATATATATATATATATATATATATATATATATATATATATATATATATATATATATATATATATATATATATTGGCGCTCTCTTGTACCAATATTTATGTGTTCAAATAAATAAATAAATAATAAGTCACAAATATAGGGAACCCTTTGGGTTTTTACAAACTTTGGGCACCTGTGGCATGCAGAGAACTTTATATTTAAGCATATAGTACTGTATAGAGCCATTTTTAACTAAAATAATCGTAACGATGTGTCGTGTGCGGGTTGTCCATCTGTTTATCAAAGACTGAATGCCTCACGGTAGTCCTCTCTATATGACATTTTGCGTAGCATCTCTTCTTGGTGTATTTAAGGTGTTTTGGTATGGCTTAGTATTAGTAGCTAAAAGATCTGATCCACGAGGCAGTGAAGCACCGTAAGGAAATGCAGTCCCATGGAAGCCGGTGACCAATGATTGGTTCATACGTCATTTGTTCCTTCAGGATACTAGGGCCTATGTGCATCATTGGTTTGGAATGAGGGTTTTCCAACTCCCCTAGGTTGACTCTCCGTGTTCACCAACCCGGTTAAAGTGCCGGACATTCGCTTTTCGTCCTCTCAATTTTGTAAACAACACCCCCCGCCGCGAGAAGTCAGTGAGTAGGACTTCCCTGACAAAGGCAATGTACACATGGCCATGTAAGAGCATTCCGAGAAGGAGAGCTGACTCTCCCCACCCTCGGCCGTACCAGGGCATTTGGGGTCTAAGAACAATAACGGGGCGGATTCGCATGCATATAGCATACAATTCTCTTTGAACCTAGCCCACAACAGTAGCATCATGCGTGTTTATCAGTAAATTATCTAGAAAACATATTGTGAAAGTTTATTCCGACAACGATATGATAGACAAGAGTTAGGCTTAACGGTCAAGCCTTAATTCCTTGAAAAGCAAGTAGCTTACAAGGCTAATTTCCTTCAATAGTTTATGACATATAATTATACTTATTTTGTGTTAATAGTCTTCATTTAAGCATTTTATTTTGTTGAGTAAAAAACTTATTCGTTAAGTTAGCGATCTTATCCTTGATCTCAGTTTATTAGGGGGTTTCGTCACTAATTTCGTATCGTGGTTAGTTATCACTTGGGATACATCTTATAACCGTATTCAACTTGTCGACTGGGGTCTTGTTTATTTCACAATCTTCAAACGTTCATTACAAGTCTAAATCTCCCCATCCACAACAGATAATGATTTAGTAAATCACCACTACAGCGTTATGCAACTTAATGTAGTCGATCTACTTCCGGTCAATTATTCCTTACGACTATCCAAACTACTGTATACAGAAAAGTTTCTCGTATAAATCTAATTATAAACTACCTACCAACATCGCAGCAATTTAGTTTGAGAAAGCTTCCCAACCAATAGTTTACTCCTAACGGAATAGGTATATCAAAAGGCATAAATTGTTAATCTATACACACCACGTTGGTTTCTCTATGACTTGACCGTTTGCCGACTAAATTAACAATTATATGTTATTCTTTCTAGGCAGTACATTTGAAATCAAATACAGAAGACCTACGGTCGGTTTTCAATAAGGTCAGTTAACGCTGTTTATTGTACTTAATACTCTGATCATGTACTCGTTTTTCCATTAGAACAATGTTATTTTTTCGTTTCATTTAGCTGACTTTTTCATTAAGAAATGATTTTTAACATTGCACAGGATTGACATTGGTTTGACTTGTATAATACATACCCCAGCTAATCCAACTGGCCCAGATTAATAGCCTCAGACGCTTTTACTACAGCTCCGTGCTTACATTACTCATTCAGCGGTTCTATTGTAGACAAACAACACTACAGGAACACTTGTAATTCGACACACGTAGTCTACAGATGCTTTCTGCATTTATTAGGCATGTTTTTTAGTTACTGCTTATAATACTGTACACCATTTTACGGTATGTTTACCCTGCAATAAACAGGGTTTAGTGTTACTGAGTTATAGTTACAATTTGGAGTAATCAACTATCGAAATTAGTTTGAGGACTACATTATTCCGATACCCTGGGCAGTTTCTCAGTCAAACCCTTTAATATATTATGATAGTCATCTTTAAAAAGTGAACCGTCACCCATCTACTTTGCTCCATTACATGTTTGTCATTTTCCGTAAATTAGGTAAAAACCTCGGAGCCGATTTCGTTTTCTCCTTGAGATTACGATCAGATATTGAGTCGCTTAGTCAGTCAGTAACAACGTAGAACTTCGTACAATATGTCATTTGTTACTGATCAGAGTAAAACTTTCTGAGTAACTAATCGAAAACTTTACGTTAATGTAGTCTTCATCGTATACTGATAGCTTTACAAGTAGTGCAATTCAGGAAGCCCTAAAAGGCTGTTTCATTCTGATTTAGGACTCCTTAGTAATATTCACCGACAGTTCAACTAAAAGAAACCCATAAACTTCAGGTCTTATAACTATATTGATACAAGAGGGCCGCTGAGTCGAAATGTGGTGATGTTGAATGTAAACGGCATTTCCTGCCTCTAATATATATTGTTCTAATTTACATAGCAACAATCTTCGTGTCATCTAAATTTATCAATACGCACAAGCTCAAACTTATTGCACCTTTTCAAGTGTGCCATCACCAAACAATTAGAACTGATCAGTCATCTGGTTGACATCATTTTGTTTTCTAATGATAGAATACAGTAAACTAAATCGAATGAGTTACACTGAACTAAGTTATATGTTAAAAATTACGATATTTACCCATTTACATTTATTATTATTCCTACCTATAGTACGCCAGTGTTAGCAAAAATGGTCAAATGTATATGACTCCGAAAGATTTCGCTGTCAAATATCTACGTTTATTCAATGAGGAAAATTACAATGTATCATCAGTTAATTGTATTGCTAGTGCTGCCGATACCACAAAAGATGGGTAATCAAGGTTATTGTGATTGTTTTTTTAATTTGAGCATCTATTTTCACCTCAATAATAAATATATGTGTAAGGAAAAATAAGATCACAATAAAACCATAAAAATCCAAATAAATATTTATGTATGTGAAAACACTTTTTCCTACACACCAGATATCTCATACGCACTACAAAAAATTCTTACTTTCAACATAGTTAACATAATTAGATGACCTGTTTAGTACACAGTTGACTGGAGAACCATGTACCTATTTATAATCAATAATTTTCATGTTGAACTATGTTCCCTTGAAAAGACTCGGGCCAGACTGCCGATAGAAACACTGGATTTACTTGAAATTCAGTCACTGAGATTTTCACAAATATAATTTTCCTCCTTAATGTCTTACTTTAATTTGGCACTGAACTATTGTGAAACCGTTCTTCCAAATTTAGATGAAAGTCCTTATAAAATATGTATTTGGTAGGTAGCTGCATTTGCTATGCCTGTGGAGGTACACTTTATTGGTTCAGTTACTTAAGACTACCCAATAGATCATCAACTTGAATTTCGATCTAATTGTCGATATTTGGACAGGAAGCAGTATAATGGACTATCAGTAGGAGTGAAGTATGATAATATGAACGTGGAAGATATTCATATCTCCCAAGGATTCGATTATCGATATGTTTACAAGCGTTATTTTATATATTCCTACTTACTTAAGCCCATAGATTCTGATACGTCACTGAGGCATATACCACACCAAAGAAGCAATGATTTGTGGAGTGTTTAGGTGAAACCTCGCTTACATTTACTAGAATAGAGCTATACAGATGCAACCATTCTTCACTTTCCTCTATGTCTTTAGTATTGATTGGATCTCATATATTTTATTCAGAGAATTCGTACATTCCTTTCGAACCATATTCTTCATATTCGCTTTGGTGTTTGTGTTATTTTTACTCATTTGATATTCATCGTGTTAGTTTCATTTCGATATATTAATGCAGTGTCGACTTGGGTCTATGGACACTTATTTCAGGTCCTAAATTGATTATGGCCGGTTCATTCATTATCTTCTAGTAGGTCTTAAATACTGTGTTACCGTAGACTTTCTATCTATCGGTTTCACTCTGTCCTTTTGTTTTTTCTATCTAACTGGTTTCTGACTACTGTTAGTTGCTTATCCGATTGTTCAATCTTTTTCAGTGAGGTATGGGGACCTGGACTGAGACGAATTTGTTCCGATCTCTTCATTTCCCAAATGTCTATCATTTGTACGTCACCATAATACTCTTATGGTATATCACCCTATACACTTATGTTGATCATTCCACTGACTGGGTAGGAACTAACGATCTAGACAGGCGTATCACATGTCCATCAATGCACGGTGATTTAAAACTTTGACATAAAAGCTTTTTTTTTAAGTAATCAGTTACTTATTCATGTAACCAATAAAGAAGGTAGTTACATCTTTTTTATGGAGATTTATAAACGATTAAACGGAATTAATGTTGAATAAAAACCATAATGAGTAAATCAATTTAATTTTGACTTTTCACCCCGTCATAACAGTAATGAGTCAAATCCAGATTTTCAAAATTAATGAGCAGAAGACCAGTCAATAAATAAACACGGTGATACGATGTAGGCGAGTGATGGCTGCTAATGAAATCGTATTATGGACTTAATCGCCCGAATCTCTAGGAATTATTGGGAAGACTACCGAATAAATAGGCTTTTCATGTAATAGAATAACATATTTATATTCAGAATGTAAACACAAAGTAAGGGCTATAAAATGTCATATGCGACTGGAGGAAATTAGCTTGTAGGCAGAGTGTATCCTATGACCGTTGACTGTTTTGAGTATTCATGAACAGCCACCTACTAATTAGTGTTGATTTTGGTTCCACATTCAGACCTGAAAAGTCTCAGATAATATAAGTGGCAGCAATAACCTTCATATAAGAATACTCTATACTAATTTTCTGCCCAATAGTTACTGATATCTTACCCTAGTCCATAGTGTTCAGATTTTATGAGTTGACTTTGCATTGTGACTTGTAAGCTAAGTTCCTTATTAATAATCCTATATTAAGTTGATTGGTTACCAAAATATCACAAGTTGAATAACTTTACCTCAAAAAAACTGTCTTATAATCTCTTATTAATAATTTCGTGCAAAAAGTTTGTTGATGAGATAATTGGATTGAATATTTTCTTTTATTTTAGATTGATTTCTTTCGAAGAATTTCTTGCATTTGAAGCTCTTCTGTGCACATGCGACTCTTTATATTCGTGGACATTTGAACTGTTCAATCGAGACGGTCTCGGGGTCATATCATTTGGTAAGTGAAATTAAGTGTTCATATCCTCATCATGACAATGATATTCACATCGACTAAACAAGTTATTGACTATCTGAACGCGTTGAGCGTTTCCAGCAAAATGTAGTGGATTCGAATCCCAACATGAACATCAATACTGCGTTGCAGACATATCCAGCTGACAAGTTTCTAAATACGACGAAGCACGCGTTCTAGATTGCATTGTTAACTACATACCAAATATCCTAAAACTTATGCGAAATTCCATATCAAGGTGATGCCCCAAGGATGCACATATATAGCAACAGTGAATGGTTAATTACAGTCCTTGAATATCAACAACGGGCAATTACAAACCATGACTATTATTCCTTATGTTTAGTAAGTTCTATCTCTGAACAAAACCGCACAAACAATAGTCCTAATTTACTCCAGTTTACTTTCACTGACAATCACAGTATATTCTATGTTCTTATATTCTAAGTTATATTTGATGACGTCTGAGGTGCACAATCCCTTGAACGTAATTCTAGGTGTTGTGAAGTGCTAGAAGAAACTAATCACAACATAACTATTTTATTCAACAGTGTCATCTTATAAACCAACTATATTGATGCTATGTCTAAAGAGATTACGATATCACCTAAAACTGGCGAACGGAACAAGAGTCAGGAACACTACAACAGGACAAGCTAAGCTAGTCCGTTGTGTCCGAGCCCTGATAACTAGGGGGAGAAGACTAGATTCAGTCGAGGGAAATGCATATTCCACAAGCAGTCGAAAGCACGAACGAACAAGTACATAACTCATGAGCATATATTCAGTACAGAAATGTTATACCATTAAAAAATAACAATCATACAGGATCAAGCCAAATGCAGCTGTTAGCAGGGTCGACTGTCAATAATAGATTTTAAATAAATTAGAAATAGTAGATCGTATAATGGTCGTTGGTAGGTCGAATAAAAATTTATGATAAAAGATATATATATATATATTTGAACACATAAATATTGGTACAAAAGAGCGTCAATATATATGCGCCACACAAAACAATGAAAATTCGAAGAGAGATAGAAAAAAAACTAAGGAGCGCAAAAGAAAAAGAGAACGTTAACGAAGAGATTGGTGTAAGGTAGTGTGGTAGTAACGAGGGAACGGAAAGGTACAATCAGAAGAAATCTTTCAGGTAAGGGAGACACAACCACTTTTTATGAAGAAAGTAAAAGAAGGTTACAGTAGGATTGCCACTGGTTTCTATTCTGAGCCATATCTGATAACGTCTCTAGCCACTGTGTAGCACCATCTCTCAGACCCCAACCAGAGAGTCGTGAAGGGCCGACGGAAGCCAGTCCTTTGCAGCTTTCTTTCATACCACGACACCATGTCATGCACTGACCACCTCTCCGTTTTTTCCAACCAGTCCCAGAGTCGGCAAATAATGCACGACGTGGAATTCTCTGGGACGACATTCGTAGAACATGTCCAAACCACCAAAATCGGTGTTTCAAGATGGTGACACCAATTGAATTATCTTCTCTGTGCCCGAACACACGATGCCGAACCTCTGCATTACTAACATGGTGTTGCCACTGAATGTCAGCAATCCTTCGGAGACAGCGATGATCGAACACAGAGAGTCGTCTAACGTCCTCAACTCGGAGAGGCCAGGTTTCACAAGCATAGAGCAAAACTGCTCTCACCGACGCGTTGTAGATCCGACCTTTTACAGCCAGACTAACATCACAAAGGCGCCAAAGGTGGCCCAGATTGGCATAAGCCGCTCTGGCTTTCACTATACGTGCATTGATCTCATCACTCACACCCCCACCAGCACTTATGCAGCTACCCAGATACACGAACTTCTCGACTACGTCTATCTGCTCACCATCCAGGGTGAGTACAGGATTGGAATCCTCCCAGTCTTGTAGAAGTATTTCGCACTTCGAAGGTGCAAAGCACATACCATACCTACGGACACTGATTGCCAACTGATTAAGTGCGGATTGCATGCCTTGGGCATTATCGCACAGTAAGACAATATCGTCCGCATGCTCAAGGTCGAGAAGTCTTTCTCCAGGCAACAGATCCACACCACCATTACTTACATTCATCAGAGCTGTTTCCAGAATGTCATCGATGGCAAAGTTGAAGAGGAATGGTGAGATTGGGCAACCCTGCCTAACCCCACTGCTCGAATGGAACAATGGAGAGAGGTGGTTGTATGCCCTCACTCTGCCTGAGGTGTTTTTATATAGAGCCTTTAGGATGTTTATAAACTTCTCAGGCACACCCTTCTTCAATAGACAATCCCAGAGAACAGTCCTATCCAACGAATCGAAGGCAGCCCTGATGTCGAGAAACACTACGATTGTTGGCCTTTGATAAGTATGGCGGTGTTCTAACATTTGGCGGAGGGTGAAGATATGATCAATACATCCTCGACCAGAACGAAACCCAGCCTACTCCTCGCGAGTCAATCTTTCTCGGGTTTTCAACAACCTACGAAGTATGACGGAAGCCAATAGTTTGGACGCAATCAGAAGTAGACTTATCCCCCGATAGTTGTTGCAGGAACGACGTGAACCCTTTTTAAAGATAGGGACAACTATCGACTCATTCCATGACGTTGGTACACTCTCTAGTTCCCAAACCTTTGTAAACAACGTCGTCGATTCCTTAGTCAAAAAGTCACCACCATCTTTAAAAAGAGCCGGAGGTAAGTCATCTGCGCCAGGTGATTTGTAACGCTTCAAGAGTTGGAGTTCCTTGCGGACTTCCTCCTCGTTTGGTGGATCAGTCGTCACCGGCCATGAAGGGTAGGACAGTCTGACCGATGTTGCTGGAGCAACAGGCCAGTTGAACTGCCCTTCGAAGAATTCTGCCCATCGTCCAAGACGTCGATGGATGTTAGTGATTGGCATCCCATCATCCTCACAGATTGTTTCATTCACCAGACTTCTTGCTGCCAGTGGCTCAGATGAGTTGGAAGAGCTTCCGGTAGTTACCAGATGCAGCTGCTGCTTCCAGCTCATTAGCACGCTCCGACCACCAGGCTTCTCGGTCCTTACGCAAGCTTTGCCCAATTTCCTTACGTAACATCCTTCGTTTATGGTCAAACTCACGGTCACCCGGAGTAGACCGACGGGCTTCAATAAGTTGTAAGGAACCAGAAGAAACCCAGTGCTTAAAAGCGGGACGTTTCGCAAACCCACAACTGACTGTTCCCGCCATTTTCATGGCGTCATGCAATTGCGACCAATGCTCATCTATACTTTTCGGTGGAGTGGTAGGTAGCCTAGAGGCTAGCTCGGTTCGATACTTATTTGCAACAGAAGTTGCAACCAGCTTGCTAATATCAATCCTTTGCTGGCGGTCACTTCGTTGTCCACTGAAAAGTAAGGCAAGATTGGCGCAGACCAAGGCATGGTCAAAGTCCAGATAGGTACTCCAAAAGGAGCGGCAGTCTTTTACACAACCACGCCAGCAGTAGCTGATCGCTATGTGATCAATCTGAGTCCAGGCTTGGGATGCAAAGGGAGGACGCCAGGTGGCACATCGGCGATGACTGTGCCGAAAGTTAGTGCTAGCCAGAAACAGGTTGTGGTCTGTGCAAAGTTGCAGTAGATGGTCCCCGTTATCTGACCTGCGACCAACGAGTCCCCATCGGCCACCTAAACGACTCTCTTCTGTGCCTAGACGCCCGACCTGAGCATTCAAGTCTCCGGCTAGTACTACAATATCTGTCGAACGCACTTTCTGGAGAAGAACAGATAACTGGTGGTAAAACTCATCCTTGATTGCATCCGGGCTGCAATCTGTCGGGGCATAGGCGGAGATGACGAAAAGACATCGTTTCTCACGCCGATTTCTTCTCACTTTGATGGAACTTTCTAATCTAACAGCACATAACCGACTGTTAATGGAGATCCAATCGATTAGTGCTGCCTCAGCTCTAGCGCTTAGTGCGACACCAACGCCAGCAAGACCAGACAAAGATGCCACAGGGTCCCCGGATAAGCGCACGTAAAACAAGCTTTTCGAAGCGACAGATGGAGAGCGAATTTGTAGTACTTCACCAGAGTCTTGAATACGGGTCTCAGATAGACAGCAAACATCGATATTAAGACTTTCCAAAGACATAGCCAGCCCTATCTGTTGTCCGACCTGCATAAGTGTGCGAACGTTGACGGCAGCCAGTTTGAATGGTGCACATGATTTCAGAAAAACTGCTTCAGTTCTCGTATTCGGTGGTAACATACATTTTTCAACCGGACAGTGACTCGAGAACGTTTAGATAGAGCCGAATTTCCACCTAAGACGAGCTCCTGTATGAGTCGAAAAAAATAAGTATAGACAGAGTAGGAATAAAAGAGGGTGAATAATGTAGTAAATAATAATAATAATAATAATAATAATAATAATAATAATAATAATAATAATAATAATAATTTGATTGTTAGTTGAAGCAAGTAAGGTAGTTTCCATAATTATATTCAGTTCATCATATTTGTGTGTGGGCTGTGATACTGCCCGGGTGCCCAGACCGAAGCAGGTGGTTATCTTAGGGGGCCACACCCCGAGCCTTTGACCTAATGGTCTAACCCACAAGGCAGTGGGTAAATCCAGACTACCGCGTGTTTGCACGCACTATATGTGCACAGATTATAGGTGAGAGATGTCCAAAAGGGAACGCCGTTGATTAAAATTACTTTTACAATCCATTAAGGTTTGGCTCAAATATCTGAGAGACATATATACCAATTAGTTGTGTATATCTGGATTCGCTTTGCCGATATAGCTTCTTAGTCGTTCTTTGTCACTCATATACCACGTTGACGCTGGGTATAGGAAGCATGTAGTCAAACAGTCTGTTGGGGATGTTAGATCCCCAGAACTCACTTAATAAATGCCTTAATTTTGTAATTTTATTTTGAAAATTTGGATTTTCTTGTTTTCGCGCCAAAAGCGTTCTTTTCACCTTCATGTCGTATTTCCCACCTGGGAGAATCGTTATCGCTATTGGTCCATTGTGTATTTTAGTGTGCTATTTTGTAACTCTTTCCAAGGACAAATTTATTCTGTATATATACGTTTGAATTGTGTCTGTTGTTATCGCTCGCTCGTGCTTCTGGCTTTTACAGAATATACTTCCCCGTTTGGACTTCGACTTCTCTCTCTAGTTAGCGGGGCGGGTACGCAATAGAATAGCTAGTTATTGGTCTTAGGCCACAAGTCTTTGTTCTGTTCGCAGTCTGAGTGAACTCGTAGCCGCTTCAAACGTAGCATATTCGTATGACGTAACATACTCGTCTGATTAATTCCCTAGAATGTTAATAAGTAATACTTGTTTTTAATTTATGTGTATTTCCATTCGATAATACTTATTTTATGCTTTTGTGTTTATTTTTTACGCCTAGACAATTTTAAGAAAACACTCGATATGACATCGGTGAATAAAGATTTTACGTTTAATTTCGATTGTGATTTCATCAACCTGCATTTTTCCAAGGATAGATCACGTAAAATTCCTTACGATGAGTTTACACAAATAATTCATGTAAAATATAATTTTATATTATATTATATTATATTTTATATATATATATATATATATATATATATATATATATATATATATATATATATATATATATATAATTCTTTAAATAATTGTATGAGACATAGTCATTTTACCCGCACATAATTCGGTGCTTATAAAATGTTAGTTGTTAAGTGATTTAATTTCACTTCATGTTACACTTAATACGATTCGTTGGCTTATTGAAAAAGAATTTGCGGTATCTAAGTACTAATGACTACGGATTGTCTTACACTTATAACCCATTGAGGATTGAACTTGAAACAAGCAAAAGACTTAAAGATAATTAATAATTGGTTTTCCATGGATGATCTAGATCCTGCTACTACGGCTACATGTGAATCAAATTCTGCCGTCTATCAAAAGCACTTGTGAACAAGACTTTGGCGGCCTGCTTGAGCATCTGGACTACCTGTTCCTGCCATCTAGATATTTCAACAAGTTATCTATTTTTTGTTTGTTTTAATATATCGTTATGTCTATTAATCGCACAACCTATTCTGCTGCGTTTCTGAAAAGTGTACAACCTTTTGTTGTCAAAGTTACAAAAATCTCAATAAGAGACAATGTGGTTGCCGTCAATATACAACGAAAAGAATGCACATTATTCAGATGTTCATTTAGTGAACTGCTAACATCTAACTGGCGATCACTCAATATTTATCGCCAGGACCGACCAAGAAGAAAGAAACGGAAACTTGTTGAAACACTGCGCTGAGAATTCTATATTGTACCAAAAATATAATATTGAATAAAGCTGATGATAATAATAATCCCAATTTCTATAAAAGTCTGGTAGGGGATACAGTGCTAATTACTCATCATTTTTAAAAAAACTCTTAATAAACACAAACAGTATATAAGTGTATAGCAAATTTATAGTATAACCTGACCGTAATTCGACAAAAACCATTCACTGAATACAACTGTTACTTATCGCCAATAGACATTTTCAAATGTTATTTCGCAGATCAGTCTAAACTAGTGAATAGCTCCAAAACAGTAATTTAACAATTATCTAAAAAACACAAGTTATTATTCAGTGGACGGTTCTCTTATTTTGTAAAACATATGCGGTAAGCTTTTATGTAACTTGAAAAAATCACCACTTTGATTCAGCTATATTTTCGGATATATATATTAGAAAATAATGGAAAGTTCTCAATTCCACTGTCATTTGCTATTCACATTTTTATTGTTTCGTTAAATTTGTTACAAATCTTTTATCACAACTATTCTCCTTTTTGTTTTACTTTCGATATATTTGCATGTGTCTATGTGTGCATGAATGATTTAGGACTTCAATAATGAACATGCTATCCAAGCCTTTAAACAAATGGATCAAGATAAAACGGGAACGATTACAGTTGATCAGTTTAAAAGTATTATTTTGCAGTTGAAAAGTCATTTGTTGACTTCTTTGATTAAAGAAAATTTACTCACAGTAAGTAGTCATATAAGTCCAGTGAATCAGTAAATTTGATTGTTTGTTGTTATTTCTTAAATGGTCCAACTTTGCTAAATGTAAGGTAAACAAAATGATCTAGCATAAATATGTACTGGGTTTAGTTGCTGCTCTTATTACTAGAACGAAAATTAAACTAACGAGATCATAAAGTAATCCATTACCTTTCTGTCATGTAGTCTACATCTAGATGATGTAAAAGTAAGTTGAAAGAAAACTAGAGTTGCTCAAACTAAAACGTAACATCAGTACATAAAGTTATTGACAGCAGGATATACAATTTCATTCTTATCTGAGATCAATTAACTTTGTATGCATGTGGTGGCTGTGCTTCATTAACCAATCATCCTCGTAACTGTTATTATATAATCCTCAATGGCGTTTGAAATCAGAAGGCAAAGAGAAACAGCGAATACAGTTTTATTAGCTTATAACTCGGACCGCAAAGCAGAGAGGCAAATGAGTGAGTCAGCGGGTCGAAAGTGTATATAGGACTAAATGTACATATATATATATATATATATATATATATATATATATATATATATATATATATATATATATATATATATATATATATATATATATATATGAATGAATATATATGAATGGATCATCGAATCAATTAAGCAGCTAATAATAAAGCTAGCAGAATGAATATATGCGTAGGCGGTAAGCAATATTCAAGCATACATATTTCATATAAGCACAACAATAATAAAGGTACAATAAGTTGTTATAATACGGATGACTCTGTCCGTTAAATAAGTTGATAAAAGAGCTTAACCGAATTAAATGTGAACTCAGTTGCACGTGAGCTGCTATATGCAGACGTTTTTGTAATAATGGTACATTGACTTAACTTACTAAAAGTCCCTTTTGCATACTCAACTCACTCTAACGTACATACCGGTTCAGTTAAGGTGGTGTTGTATGGTCACCCCATAAACCCTGTAAGAATTGCATCAGATAAATAACTTGCTCAGCAACGAGCCTAAGTTTCCATCCCTGTTAGGTTAGCGTTTGTGTTGTTAATTGATATGCCACTGATTTCTAGTTTCGATTCTAATACCTACATATCACAATTCCCCTTTATCTTCCCTTATACCCTATGGGTCGTCAAATATCACGCGACAAAATCTCCAATCAGAACACCGACTTATATGACCTTTTCCCTGTGCGAAACCAGTGATGCATTCATTAGCGCGAGTAGCCTTGAGTCAACTCAGTGTGGTAGCTTTTTGCCTAACCCGGCCATCTCAGTCAAGAACACCATAATCACCTTCCACTGTATGAATTATATATTTCAAATATATGTAGTTTATACACAAGCAGGCCAGACCTCATCACAACTTTAAATGCAAAATAATCATTATACAAGATCACACCAAAAGTGACTGTGCTATTGATAATTTAACTAATAAATTGGGAATAAGCTAAGGATGGTAAGTCGTATAACAGTAACCGATAGTTCAAATGAAAGCTTAGAATAAAAGGAATACCAACACTATATATATATATATATATATATATATATATATATATATATATATATATATATTACTTAGTAACTATCCAATAAAAATATATGTAATGATAGTCCATAAATATATCCCAGCAGTTATCATTCATTTATTCTTCTTTCGGATATAACATCTAACCCCAGCCACTCCCGAAGATTTATTCGATATAAACTAATGAAAATTGATTTAACCAAGCAATTACAATTACTTTAAAGACGGCAGAAAAAAAAACTAGCGTACTAAAAAATAAAACAACATCTTTAATTACAGTGCAGATAAAATATGTTCTCCATGGGCGGAGAGACGGCAAAAAAGGATAAAAGTTCACATTTTCAAAATGAAATTATCAAAATAAACAGAATTCTAATGGTTTTCTGTGCATTTAACATCTTTTACCATATTTAGTAGTCAAGCAACTAAGCTTATATAAGAAGTTATCGTATGGTTTTATTTATTTAAACATATAAACATCGGTACAAGGAGGCACTAAATAGATATGCGCCAAATAAGTCATTCGATTTGTGTGAGGGCTAGGATAGTTCCTGGGTGCCCAAACCGAAGCGGATGGTTTTCTTAGGAGGTCACAGTTGCAGTCTTCGACCCAAAGGTTTGATCCACAAGGCAGTGAAACATCGTAAGGAGATGCAGTCCCATGGAAGCCGGTGACCAATGACTGGTTCATACGCCATTTGTTCCTTCGAGATACTGGAGCCCATGTGCATCATTGGTTTGGAATGAGGGTTTTCCAATTCCCCTAGGTCGACTCACCGTGTCCACCGGCCTGGTTAAAGCGCCGGACATTCGCTTTTCGTCCTCTCAATTTCGTAAACAACACCCCCGCCGCGATAAGGCAGTGGTTGTATGCACGTGGCCAAATGAGAGCATTCCGAGAGGGAGAGCTGACTCTCCTCACTCAGCCGTAACAGGGCATTTAATGTTAAATTAATATTAGTTCTTTTAAATTGACTCGAGTGAGCTAATTGTTGTCAGCATAAATACCCTATCGGATGGTGTTTCCTGTAAAGCTGATTAACTTTTTCTCCATTTTTAATTATTTCACTCATATTGAAATTGGATAAAGAGTGACTTAAAACTCTAAGACAATAAACTTTTCATTTTTCTTATTTAACTACATTTGCAAATTGTATATCAAATTAGGAACTTAACACGTCCAACTTACTTTCTACCAAATCCCCTTGATTCTCCATCATGCCTTACCATCAACTTCATCTAGAAGTCTTAAGTTACTGTTTGTTTTTATCACAATCCAAATTATTTACGAATCACTCTTTATTTATAAAATGTTTCTCAGTATAACATTCTCTCTATGCTTACTAGGTTGTCTTACAAGGCGAAATGAATGGTGGTCGTATTACCTTTGCTTATTATATGGCTTTCATTGCACTCTTGACTAATATGGAATTAGTTAAAAAAGTGTATCTAAGTCGAACTAATGGGAACGCTAAAGTAGAATTAACTAAAGGTTAGTTACCAGTAGGTAGTCGTTTCCTAGATATTCATAATTTGTATTTTTATGTACATTGTATAGTTAGCTGTTAATCGCTGGTTGTATAAATAATAAATATCATCAGTAATTTTTAATCATTTTCATGAAGAGATTGACAGCGTATTTTTTTGTCATGAATCATGATGTAACTGACAATATTGTTTGTTTAAAATAGTAATTCTACTATTAAAGAAAATTAATTGACTTCTAAAATCTCTCACTACTGTTTTGTTGTGTATACAGTTAAACAATATTCTAGGAGCTCGAAATGTTTAAGACTAATTGAGTATGTCCAAATAGAAATATCAATTATAAATTTGCATTATACTTCGAAATATCCCAATCCACGTCCGATGAATCAAGTAGACATTTTATCATTAATTTAAAGTTACTCTCAAAAAATCAAACTCAATACTGATCGATTCATATCTTTTTATATAAAAAAAGCAAAGTATTAGTAAGCCAACTTACACTCTGTGGATTTCTCAAATAGTTAACCATATTCCTCTTACTTGGATAGTCATTTACTCAAAAGTTTACCATGGTCAAACAGGAATAATATAACTTATGACTGTCCTCAAGAGCATGGTATTTCACCACTTACATAGACTGTTGAGTTTTCAGGATTGATATCCGCACGTGACCCGAATCACGTTTGTCCAGTTGCGTAGTTAATGACTCAAAGTGAAGGTCATTATAAATAACTCTGTTAATTATTCCTACACTCTCTGTAAACATCCTTTATGGGTGTGAATATTCGTCTTATAAGATTCGCTATCTTACAAAATTATTCCATTGTAATAGTAGCTGAACTAAAACATAGCTCGTGAACATACATTCCTAATGTTTTCAGTTTGAGGTTGTGGAGACTGCTGAATTTCATTGAAATCATGAACCGATCAATATTAGGCCACCATCAAAAACCTGGAAGCACTAGACGTTCGTTTCATCCTAATATAAGCACTGCGAACGAGTCCAATACTAGGACGAAACGGCCGTCTAGTGCTTACATGTTTTCAATGCTGGTCTAACATTATTCTGTTCATGATTTCAATGAGATTCCTAATGATCTGACCATCATTACGACGTCAAGAAATCCTATTCTGTATTCCTATTAAGAACACTCTGGCTTTGTGCTGCACCTTCGGAAGTCATCATACACATATATTTCAAAACTTCAATACAGTCAATGAGATCACTTTAATCCCCTTCCCTGATCCGCTGACTACAGTGAAAAGATCAACTTAGTAATGGAACCGTCAGTATATCAATCAAAAATGCACATCAGTTGTAGATCAGTTAATTAGAATTCATGAACTAAGTGTTTGTCACTAAATAGAAATTATAGTAAAAAAAATATATTAAATGGTGACGAATAATGTTCACAATCAATAACTTAATATAAGGGAAATTCATCTCAATAGATTTCTTTTCTCATAAGTTGTATTTAGATAAAGCACATCCCCAACAAGTCAAATAAACTTTAAAAATCTAAATTTCATTAACATCTTATAGATATCCGAAGTAATCACTTTCTTACGTTACATTTTCCATTTCCGAAGTTTACAAGTGTTACAACCTCCAAAATAAAAGGAGCTTCGTTTTTATTTGATCTACTATTCGACAGTTAGTAATTTTGATTCATATAATCGTCAAGGTATTGAGTAAACTAAAATTTAAAGACTCAGATCCACAGCATATTAGCCATAATATTATATTCAGAATACCTTGAGAACCTAATCTTCGTTTTACAGCGTTTTCGAATTCTGTGAACGGTTTTTCATTCTGCATGCATACTTAACATAAAAATCACTAATAATCCATTTCCTGTCTCAGATTATGAAGCTACAAGTTTAGTTTCTGTAAGTTTTAAATGCCTAACGAATTATACTTTCATTAGAAATATGACAAATATGAAAATACGTTCGGCTTCATTGTTCAAAATACGTATATGAGATTGCATGACTGAATTAACAAACATAGTATGTCCATGTTACCATCTAAGAAACGCTACTTTTATCTTTCTACTTATGTAGACATTTCATTGGGTTGCTGGAACTACCTTTTTGATTTGTTGTTTGAATAGGTGTACAGGTCATGAGCCTTAATGAAACGAGTTACACAAGTAAACTTTATAACTCTGTCTCTTCAAAGTGATGTACACAAAAATTAAACTCGAACAGTCTCATAATAGAAGAAGTTTACTACTAGGTTAATGAATATTTATAATTCACCTTGTGAAAACATATTATTCGCCTTTACATTGGACAGACGCTCAATCAAAAATATCTCATAATTTATAAAGACTCACTTTTTCTCACTGTTTCATTATTGAAAAAAAACCTGACTAACATTTCTTTGAATTAAAAATCATGTACATCAGTTTGATTGCAAATTTCATGTTACAAAAATCAGCTGATATTCCACGTTTTGGTTAATGTTTTGTATTTCTTCAGCAATGTATCATGTCTAGACGAATGCTATCGATATGATTTCACAAATATTTCAAGTGAATTATCTAAAGTTAATTATCTTCTAACCTGCAATTTTACCACTGATTAGTACCACCGTGCTCTTAATCTGTTTTTATCGTCTTATAAAATAATCTTGCATAGTGTTATGCTCACCAATTCAATTGGTTACTGAACTGATTTTCTTGGTCAGTAAGGTCACTACTTCACTTCCCGTAAGTAAAATATACACCTGTTGGAAGCAGTTTATTTCCAGTGATGCCATAATGTCAAACATTCGATAGAAAAAATTTTTATGCAAGTTACCGTTTTCAGCTTTTCGAATTACACGAATCAAAAACTCTAATTTAATTCTTTAAAAACTTTCCTTAATATCTAATTATTAAAAATACATTTATTATTGATATTTTTCCCACTCTATCATTATCAGTGGTGTTTTTGTTCCCATCTCAGTTGTTCGATTCTTGGGGTCCACTACAAACAAGGTTATTGGTCATAGTGTTGATTGAGTCATGCAGTCGAATGCATCGCAGTCATACAGTATAATTCCCTATTATTCATTCACATAAAATAATTAACTGATACCTTTTGAAAATTCCTGTTATTCGTCCGCGGGTGTTTAACAGGACTAATGAAAGTTGATCATGGAGTCATTAAGATGTAAATCACTTCTTGATAAATTAGGGTGAAATAGAATTAAATTAGTGATTTTCAATGTTCATGACAAATATTATTGGTAGTCATCGATTCTGAACGATAGCTTTTCATTAGCTTTCATTCAAATATACGAGTGTTGAAAAACGACCTTCAACAACGTCTTCTAACAACAAGACCGCTTAAAACATTTTTCTTCAAAATGTTTTGTTGAAATAGCCTGTTTATTTGTTCTGTTCCAGCTAATTTTCAAGAAATTTCATTTAACAAATAACAGTAAATTCTCTTGTTTTCCATTTTATTCTTGATCTCCATTAATTTGTCAATTCTAGAGGAAATGTTGAATGCAGCACAAAATTTCTCTCAAATCACACCAATGGAAATGAATATTTTATTTCAGCTCATTTCACTTCTTCGAAAAGATGGGTAAGTGAAAATACTCATTTTGTCATCTCTATAATCATTTTCTCATTGGAAGTATCTGAATTCGAATCATTATAAATCCTGTCTTGATATGTTATTGTTAAATAAATAGATAAATACAAGTAGATCTCAATATTCACCCTAATCCTCATTCAAATATGTGGGGTTTACGGCGTAACACCATATTCGGAGGGAAGTATAATTCACATCAATGGTTAAGGCATTCGAATTTCAGCCACTAAGTCCCAGGTTCGAGCCCCTTCCTGTCTACCTTGGTTTAGGCAACCGGATAGTTTCATTAGCCTTTAAGCTTAGTGTGGCCCATATCCTGTGAAATTAGTCAATATAAATAAATAAAATCTTCATCATACAAATTCAGAATTATTCTAGTTTGTATATTATAGAACATTCCTATCCTGTAAATTGGAAGACGTAATGGCAAGCGATATTTTTCTTCAATTTACTCTCTATAAGACTTTAATACTTACGTGTATGAAAAATGTTAAATCGGTCAAGGCGATTCGTGAAATTAGTCAACAAGTATCTCCCTTTGTGGGTTTACCAAAATCCAAACAAAATCAATACATGCCTCTGTCGCACTCGGGTGATGGTAATCGTATAATAGATAAGACAAAGAATTCAAAGTGATTTGTTATATGACTTTCAACTTTTAGGGTTCAGTCTTGTCTTTTACACAAACCATAGACTGTGGGGATTCGAACCAACAACCCTAGTGCTTGATAAAATTTATAATCTTTTTCTTTTTTGACTACAGGGAACTTTATGAACGATCTTCATAATCCTTCCCACTATTTACTTGTTTCCCCTCATTTTTTCCGTTTATTTTCACTACTTGCATATTTATAGTGATTATTCACAAGGTATTGCATAATATTAATAATTATTTTATTATTATTGATAATGACAATTTTACATAGTAGGTGATTTACAAACAATAGATAAGTGTTTACTTACTCTTGGGGGTGCAGCACGAAGAAAGTCTGATCCTAACGGTAATCTAAAATGTCATTTCTTCCTAGTGCCAAATTAGTTCCAGTGTTCGTTCCGAAAATTTGCTTTCAACGACACTACATTTTAACATCTAGTCAGTCATATAGATGAAAACCTCACCACTTACACACTGGCATCACAGTATATATATATATATATATATATATATATATATATATATATAATATTTTACAAGATATAGTAATCAATAGACTAAGTGTCAGTTACGTAACACTGCCATGTCACAATAATATTGAAGTATGAAAAGGTACGATTATGTTAGTTGATGTGGCACTTTAAGGTCTCGTAATATAGATTCAGGTTAACCGCAATACCTTTGTTGAAATATTCATGCTATCATGTTGTTCTTATGACGATTATCATTACTACTACATATGTCATCAATTTTCATTTATTATCAGCATAGGGTTATGGAGATTGTTGAGATCATGAATCGACCAATGTTAGACCAGCATTGTAAACCTGGAAGCACTGAACGGCCGTTTCGTCTATTATGTACTTATATAATTAACTCGTTTGCTTATCATTTACAAAAAAAATTCAGTTGTCCCAATATTTTTCACATATATAAATTAAAAACAAGATTGTTCACTTGTGTATCTTATGCGGGTTTACCAAGAAATTTTTGTTTACATATAAAAACATTTTACGATTGTCATTCAGCATTGTTAGATCGCTGTCACTGAAAATGTCTATCACACTGATCTGTATTAAGTTAATAAACCGTTAAAATAAGAATTATTTGGCAATTATTAAACTACTTGACGAGTGACATGTTAACAAATAAATATGTCCTCTGTTATAAATGTAACATGCATAACGTTGCTTTTTAGTTCCAATCGATTCTTGACTACTTATAGCCAATACCGGAATCAACGTGATAAAACTTTAGATGGAATGTCCATATGTGCTTATTTATTCCTCCGGTTAATTGCTTTAAAAAACGGGGCATAAACTATCTGTAATTAGTATACCACAATCTAATTTTTATCGTCTTCACTCCGTTATTCAGTGTTCATCGGATTCTGTAAATAAATGCATCAAGCACGCGAACAAAGTCTATTGAATAAAATCTATTTTCCAAAACTTTTTACCACATTCACTGCATAGCATAATTTTTTCACTTTGCAACCTTAAAAGATCAAAAGCACAGCCTAATAAAAATACAATAGATATGCTCTATGAATAGCTGTATCTTCCGTTGTCGTTTTTTTCTAATTCTCAGACGCGTTACTTATCAAGATTTATGCGCTATTACTCCCGTGGAAGAAAATTCTATGTCACACCATATGCAGGCTCGACTTCAGGTATGTTCGTTGTTAGTTGTTTTATTTTGATCGTCGAGTAACCTAATCAGTAATTTTTTTTGGCCCAATGGTACACTATTTAACTATTGCTCCAAATTTCTTTCGAATATGTAGAATGACGGTATAGATCAGTTTCCTTTTATTATGATTTTTCAAAATGCTTCTTTATTTTCGGTACACTACTATTATGTTTGTCAAAGCTTTTTTCTACCTTATCCATGTAGCCATCATATTATTATTTCTCCCTAAGTTAGAGGTTGAAAACCATCAGTTATTAGGCTTGGTAAGTCTTTCCCTGCATTGTACCTCGTTTTTTGTGATCTGTCAATTATAGCTGTCAGTAAACCGATTGCTGGCAGAGGATGTCTTTTAAGACCAGTAGGTTAGTTCCTCATTCTAAACTACAATAGCTCCGAGTTTTTTGTATAGAATCCCATCCCAATCATAATCTATGATATTGCCAGCATAAGCTAGAACTTCATTCAAAAACTTCCTTACATATACTGCTTTATTTCGTCTCCTCTTGAATGGACTCTGTCTACTTAAATAAACCAAAACTGAGAGTGTCACTGTCGTTTTATGTCGACAATTTGAGTTCCTTTACATTACTTAAATTAACAAGAGGCTAGATATCATCAATCCCTAAAAGAATGTGTGAATACAAACTGATCAGTAAAACCATCGGTAATAGGAATTTTGATTGTTTTACGACACTACATTCCCCCTCTCTCCCGATTTTTTTGACCTTTTCACGCCGCTTCATCACAACAGTAAATAGTGGTTTATGATTTTAAACATTGAATAGGTAACCAACTTTTAATGTTATATTTTATGATAATGGTGACTCAATTACTAAGGCGTTCAGCCTCCAACCGCTATGTCTCAAGTTTGAACCTCGAGCTGTGTCCATTTCAGTTTGGGTAACCGGATAGTATCACTAGCCTTCATGCTTAAGGTATTTCTCGAAACCAAGTGCACAAATTGTACCTGATAAATGAATGACGAAATTATCTTATGAAAGTTAATTATTATTCTTTTCTACATTGTTACTCAAGTTAATAGTTATAATAATTCATCTCATCACTATTGATTGTAACCTAATTCTAATGATTTGGTTATTTATGGATTTTAACACTGTAGTTGGTTTATTTGTCATTTTATTCTGAATAAAATATTTTGTACTCCAACTTTCTTATGCCTAGTGTTTTGCATAGATGAGTTTATGTCTAAATAACATTATATATTTAACAATAAAATCGTTTTGTATAAATATACTACCATGTTTCTAGTCATTGAATAAAATATGTCTTATTACCTTCTATACATAATTAGGGAACTTCTGGGAATAATGTAAATGTACCTCGTGGAAGAAGTGTTTTAATGTCCATACTTGAACAATGTTATCGGTTCACTTTAGGCTCAATTGCTGGTGCATTCGGAGCTACTGCCGTCTATCCAATCGATCTTGTTAAGACAAGAATGCAAAATCAACGTGCTACTGGATCAACTACGGGTGAACTTATGTATAAAAATAGCTGGGATTGTTTTCGTAAAGTTATTCGGTAAGCTTTAAAAGTATCTTTTTTATAATTTTCATTGAAATGATCACCTCTTTAAGTTAAATCCTACTAACCAATGATTCCATTTTGAAAGTTTTACCAGTTTGAGTTGTTTCCGGGCCTCCTACTTTTTAATTGCTTTGGTCACGTACTTTTCGTTAACTAAATTCCTGTAATTAAGCACTTACACCTTTGTAATTAATTCGTGCATTTTATCTTTTGAGGTTTATACAACAATATCACAATATTCCAATTCTAGAATATTTTTATTGTTTAATTACAGACTGATCTTAGCTTAAACCATCAGTGAAAACTAAGAGCCACCAGACAGCTGACTCGTCCTAGTATGAGACTTCTCAGTGGTTCACATCCTTTAGTTATTCGTGACAAGTAATAGAGTTCAACCATGTTGTGTGTGAGACAGTTATCCACTATAGACAATGTAAATTAGTCGCGCAATATGGCGGATCGATCAAAGTTAGACATTTACACCAGTGAATGCCTTCTCACTGATCTGGAGATTAAGCGTTTGGACGAAGCCAAGAGTCCTGGGTTCAGTCTCTAATGGAAGTGCGATCGCTCACTTCTGAACAGTCTTACACTAGGACGAATCAGCTATTGAATGCTTTCTCGTTTTCCATGGCGGTCTGTCTAAGATCAGTTTGTGATTTAAGCTGTGAAAATTCTACACTCTCCACAAAGACTTCATACTGGTCGCAATATTTATAAATTAAGGTATGTCATATAAAAGACAACCGGTGTGTTGAAACATTCGAAAGTCACTTTTTATGACGCTGCACTTTCTACATTACTATAACTTCGGAACTCTAATCAAGTTCTAGATAGTTTTATATTCTAAATTCATTTCTCAAATCGTATTCAACAGGACTTAGTTTTCGAATAATCATCGATCACAATAGCGTAAGTCTATGCACTCTTTGTCTTCCCTTAAACAGTGAAATTAATTCTTCCTGTATTATATCCTTATATGAAATCTTTCTTTTATATATTACTACCATTGAAGTAACTACTTCTATGAATTTGGTGTTCAGCTTGTTGTGCTAATAAGGTGTGGCAACCTAAACCGATGCATATATGTGCCTGGTCCTACGTTGTAACTGACTAACTGACATCAAAACTCACTAAACATATTCACTTCAAGGTAACTAGTGTATATAATTTCTTAACCTTTTCAAAAATAATTCAAGGTGTGTACATGTCTACATGAGTACTTTCCATTTCCTGTTAATCTGCTGTGACTTTTTTAAATTGATTTAATAGTAGTATTCATGAGTCAATTGAAGTTAGACCACTATGAAAAACCTGGAAGCACTGGACGTTTGTTTCGTCCGAGTATGGTACTCCTCGACAGTGCGCAACCATTACACTAAAATTTACTGAAAGATATGTATTTTGTTCATAGAAAAATTTATTGTAACTACACTTGTTCTTACAGAATGTACATATATTTGTAAATAAAGTATTATTCTTTTGTAAATGTAATTTTTACAAGCTGGCAAAGATTTATAGATTAAAACAATAAATATTAAACCACTCTTTAATTTAAAACAATTTGTCCATTTGATAAATTTCGACAACGCAACGAAAAGATGAAGTTTATCAGAATTATGTGATATATTTGCACAATCCGATCACACATATACTTGTTAAGACATTTTTATATGAAAATTAAAACATCAACTAGACATATTAAATGTTAGCCATAACAAAGAAAAAGTTATTATTATTATAAAGTACATAAAAACAATGTGATTACCACTCTGGATAATAAATCAGTATTACCAGGGTAGGTTAAGGGTAAGGACAAATTGTTTTCGAACCCATCTCGCGGGAGGCGGGATCGTGGATGCGCAATGCTAAGGAGTCTCATACTAAGAAGAAACGACCGTCAAGTGCTTCCAGGTTTTCCATGGTGGTCTAGCTTCAATTGACTCATGATTTCAAATATTGAAATTACTAAAATCTCCACAAAACCCCTTCACATAAAGATAGTTTCAGTTTATGTATAGCCAATGCGTCAATAAACCTTAGTATACGCCCTTGAAGGGTTTTGTACAACACTGCAAAGGCTGACTTGATATCAACCTTACGACCAGTTTCAACCAAATGTTTTGCAATGGAGGAAGATGTCTGTCTATCCTGTGACCATTGGAATTCGTTTGTTTCTGTAGACTGCTCTTTAATCTCTTTTTCAATACATTTTGATTTAATGTTGTTATTTTTCTCTTTCTCTTACTTTTTCATTGTTCAGTTTATAAGATATCAGTCGTAAAATTAAATGTCGCATGTACATGTTTTTTTTACTTCTAAAACTGTCAATAATTTCTTGAATTTCATTATATTTCTCTCATTCTTCATGTGTCCAATAAATTTGTTAGCTTAACGACTCATTTTTTATAAAAAGAATAAAATTTCATGTATTCTTTAGCTTATAGTAAATTAGGATTATCATTTTAATGTGTAGATAGTTAGTTTATTTTGTAGTTATGAATTATTTCATTAATTTAGTTCATTCGTATTAATCTTCCAAAATTATCGATCATTGGTCTTCTGATAGCTTCGCTCGGCGATCTATCTGGTTGGTTATCAGTCGTAAATTTTTGCCTAGTAACCGGATATTATATTTGAGTAATGTGATGTATGAATGACACAAGTTCATATGCTTATTTATTAACTAATTAATGTCAAATGTAGCGATCACTGATCGATTAGTTGCATAATTTCACTGTTAAAAAATGCAAATCATGGTTTAACATCATAGAACCTTTTAGCCTCGTGATTATTACAACTAACAGTGGAGAATATTTGTAGCTCAAGATGAGAATTTTGGTGATATTATGTTTTGTTGATCAAATCACTAGATGTCTAATTAATTAGTTTGATTTCCATCCCCTAGACAGTTCAGTTTGTTCTTGGAAAAGTATAACCTTCACTATTTTTATCGATATTGTTCCCTCAATATCTTGTATATCTTTTTTTCATCCTGTAATTTTTTAGATTTGAAGGATTTTTCGGTCTGTACCGAGGTTTAGGACCACAGATATTAGGTGTTGCACCAGAAAAAGCGATTAAACTTACCGTCAATGATTTAGTTCGTGATCAGTTTACGAAACCGAATGGTGATATCTCAATATATGCTGAAATATTATCTGGAAGTTGTGCAGGAGCAAGTCAAGTAATTTTTACTAATCCTTTGGAAATCGTAAAAATACGACTTCAAGTTGCTGGAGAAGTCGCTGATACAAGGCGTTTATCATCCTTCTCAGTAAGATATGTATTTCAGTTAACCTTTATAACTTGACTGGTACAATATTTATACAGGTACTCGAACCTATAAACCCTAAATTGTCTGCGACCAACTAATTGACACTATGTAATGAGTCACATTAGTCTTTTTCGTATTTCAAAGTTAAAAAATGAAAACTCAAAGAACAGAATAAAAACAATTGTAGAGTCCAGACACATGAATTCATTCATTTTAATGTCTATAAACTGCGCACAAGTATGATTTAATTTTCCGATTGTTTCCAACATTGATAATAAACTTGTTGGGTATCTGGATCACATATACTTGTATGCATTTAAAGACTAGATTAATCCTTTCTGTTTAACATTCCTATGTTTTATATAATAGATGTTCATTGACTTCTACCATCTGGTTTTTAAAAGTAGTTCCCAGTAAGGTTGTTTAATTAGATGCTTATTTTCAATCATTTATTAATATTTCAAATATAATTTTCACATATAATGACTTCTCTATACTCGGCGCTCAATTACTGTCAAACTATTCGTTCTAATCTTGTTGAATATTCGTATAAATTTAAACAAAGCTTTTATTTCCATAATGCAATGAGAAGTCGAAGTTTACCAGAATTATGTCTTATATTTGCGCAATACATTTCGAACAATCTGATCACACATAGCTCGTTAAGAACATTTATATATGACAAATTTGTCCTTAAACTTAACCTACCCTCGTAATACTGATTTATTATCCAGAGTGTTAATCATTGTTTTTATGTACTTCATCATTATTACTTTTTCTTTGTCATGGCTTACATTCAATGTGTCTAGTTGACCTTTTAATTTTCATATAAAATATGTCTTAACAAGTATATGCTTGATCAGATTGTTCGAAATGTAATGCACAAATATATCACATAATTCTGATAAACTTCGTCTTCTCATTGCATTATCGAAATTTATCAAAGGGACTAATTGTTTTAAAGTTGTTATTGAAAATACATTTGTTTCCTTTCAAAATTGAACAAAAATGATTCGATTACCGCTAATTTACATTTACTATTAATTGAAGTTTAAACAGTGACTGATTTTAACAATGTTGTGAAACTGATATTATCCTATTAAATCTCTAATAGTATAAAAATATCAAATGTTGAAGTACATATATACAGTATCTATATAACTACTATGAACAATTATAGATTTTAAAAACTACCAGAAACAGTTTGATGACCACTCTCAACTTATCTTGGTTTTTTTTTCTTTTTGTACTGTAATAGGTTGTCAAAGATTTAGGACTTTTCGGACTTTACAAAGGATCACGAGCTTGTTTTTTACGTGATATCCCATTTTCAGCTATATATTTTACTTCATATAGCCATTTGAAAAAGTATTTCGCAAATGAAAATGGTTGTAATTCATCAACAAGCTTATTACTGGCTGCAACAATTTCTGGAGTTCCTGCAGCATTTTTAGCCACACCAGCAGATGTAATCAAGACAAGATTACAGGTATTAATTATGTACTTCACCTACCTTTTGATCACGTTTGTTACCTACTGAGTTGCTTATTATATGTAATCATTGATTATTCAGTTATTATGAATTATATTGTGAAATGTATTCAATTCATATCCACTGTATTGATCTGAATGAGATATTGTTAAATTGACATTCTGACCTAATCACATGTAATCATTTGATTTCTCTGACAATTTTCATGTTAGCGTACATCAAAATTAAAGTTAACAAACTATCTATAAAAGAAAACAAGTTGATTTCAATCACTAACATTCTCGTCCCTGTTGCTTCTAAATATTTAGTCCTTCAAATGATATTAATGAGTAGTATAATTTAACATACAAAAAAGAAACGAACAAGCAACAAATTAAATTAAAAGGTATAAACCGAACCTATGTTTATTACTTAACTTAATGAAATGAAAGTTTGTAATCTCTAAAACGATATACTCTTAGTTCTTTTCAAGAACTGAGATCTCATTCTTGTCAATAAACTGGCTTAATTGTTTTAAAAAGTAAATTGAACTGAATTTACTCTTATTTAGCTTAAAAATAGTGCTCGTAAGATAAATTAAAAACCAGCACCGTCTTATTATACCAGATTGTGAGAAACACGTGCAGAATCAAAGCCAAGTGGAGCATGGCTAGTGTTGTTCAGATCTACAATGCATAACTGCTGCATTATTAGACATTGGATCTACCTTCGAATCGTTATTCAGAAATATGTTTCTTGTCTTTTCGGGGAAACTATTCATAGGAAAGATCTACACAAATATAGAGGAGCATGATCATCAGTTGCGTTCTGAATACAGCTTCAGAGTAAGTACACAAGGATAGTATAGATCTGTTAACTTAAAGCGATACTGTTCGACTTTGGCCTGGTTAAATTGTATTGCGTTTCCATCCAATCACTTAAATATTGTCAAACTCCACTGTAATCACTTGGTGATTAGCACCCATAAGTGTAGCATATGTTTTACATGGTCAAAGTGTGAAATATTTTTAGGTGGTTAGCAGGATTATATGCCTTCTTTCACTCTTAGTAATCAAGCTTTTGGAGTAGTCACCAAAAAGACCTTATATTTAAGCGGTTACTCTTACATTAGTATAATAAACAATACCACTTTCGGTGCTATTTAAATGGATGTCTGTCAATCTAGTCTAATTTCACCGTTTAAATATCAAATGTCAGTTGTACAGAAAAAAATTTTGAAATAAAATTCTGGTAGGAAGATCTTAGAAAAACTGACAAATCATCATGTTTTTAAGTTGTAATATACGATTAAATTCTATCATTATAATCATAATTCACTATATTTTATTAGGTTGTAGCGCGTACAGGTCAAACAACATACACAGGAGTAATTGATGCGGCTAGAAAAATTTGGCGTGAAGAAGGTGGTCGGGCATTCTGGAAGGGATCTGGTGCTCGCGTATTTCGATCTAGTCCACAGTTTGGAGTGACACTTTTATCATATGAAACACTTCAAAGATATCTCAACTTTGATTTTGGTGGAAGGTATTTAACACATCTCATCGGCCTTTTCTCTGTTCGCATATACTTCTTGTCCATTTTTTCTCTCGTCTTTGATTTCGCCTAATCGTAAACTTTTCTGTACATTTGTGTTATATTTCAGAATTAATAGCTTAACCAGCATGTGACGTAGTGTAATATACTTCTTTGATTAAGTTACATCAATAAATAATAGTTTAAAGAACTTCGACCTCGCTGAGAATTATAATCTCCATATGACGGTTATGGTCATGAGTCATTGATATTCCAAAAAAATTTTATAATAGTCAGTGTTGTTAATAATTCTTATGATGTATTTATGTCAACGAGTCTTAGTAGTAACCAATACGTATTTTGCTGCTAGAATTTTATTAGTCAAATTACATTGTATTCTTTAGTATAAGTAACTCGACATCTCTTACGTAATAATTTAATGTTATTTGGTTAGATATGGTAATAGGTTAGAAGGTTGAGATCTTGATTGACACGATTTATCTCTGATTATTATGTGATAACCATATATTATTTTTTAATTAGTTCTTCAATCTATTATTATTTTTTCCCATTGATGATTTTATCATAAACCTAAAATTTACTCATCATTCAAAAATTAATTTGTTTTTAGAGAACTCTCTGGTAAACCAATTAATTGTCATACTTCAGTAATTCCAACTAATCCTGATCATATTGGCGGTTATCAATATGCAACAACCACATTTTGTGGTATTGAATCACGTTTAGGATTATGCTTTCCAAAATATGCATTGAATTAAAATGATTTGTTTTGTTAATTTGTGCGCCTACATAATTCAATCTCGGTTCGAAATCCTTATATTTTTTTCTATTGAATTCCTTTTTTTTTTAATTTTTATTTAATGTGACAATAATGATGGGTTCTTTTTTGTAAACTGTATTTTATTACAATTCTCAGGTGAACTAGGTTTTGCATAGAAAGCTTATTCTATAAAGGTATTAGATTAGTTATGATAAACAAACTATCCATATTCATATACATATGCACAACTTTTAACGTAATATTTGCCTAATATTTCCTCTGTTCATAAATGTCGTAATGGATATCAAAAAATATAGGATGTATTCACATTTGTTCTCCTTGTTCTCTTTCTATCTTTAACTTGCTTTCTTTCTGTATTCACTATCGACATCATAAGACTACAATTGAAAAGTTCATTTTATCTGTGCTATTGTTTCTTTTCTGTCATATCTATGAATAAAGTATTCTGTTATTTTGCATTATAGTGTTTATGGTTGTTTTTTTCTTTTCTGTTTTATTACATAAATCTCTCTTCCGATCCAAAGTCTAACGGTATATTTCCAACGGTCATTTCGCTAATTTATAGTGTTATTTTATTCCATTTCATTGTATTAATATACTTTTTAATTGTACAATCGACAGTATATTAATATATTCTGTCACCTCTCCTCGATTATTACTGATACTCTTACATCATCCAATATTTTTTAAGGGTAATGACATCTAAAGTAACTTAAATTATTGTTTTCAAATTTCTCACAATTTTATTTTATATTAATTATGAACAAGTATTTCTCAGCAGATATAATGACTACAATTGTACTTATTATTTCCTTATTATTGTACTCGATTTTTCTGCATAAAATGTTTAAATAATGGTGTGACGTGTTTTCATTTGGATTTTTTTTTAATTGTTTCTACCACAGTTATCTAAACTGTTGTACTAAAGTACAACATGATCGCATTATGTCCATAAGCTTATCTGAATGTTTACAAGGGCGAGTACCATGCAACCACAACATCTTCAAGGTGAATGGAAATTATCAGTAACATGAGCACTTAAATAATCTTGTAAAATAAGCACCTACTCTTAACTAGCAATACAACTATCTACATAGTATTAATCATTACATCAGAAGCTGAATTCGCAACAAACAAGTATTCTAACATTTATATTCAATTCAATTTTAAATTATCAATCATTTGATGACCTATACCAGCCAGTTGAAAGATCCAACCCAACTCTAAACGTATTATTATGGTAGGGGGAATATAATCATATTGTTGTTAAATAGTAAGACACCATCCAACAACATTTTTGATTGTCTCTTTTTTTAATTGTTATGCACTTCTTAATATATTGTTCATGTAACACATTTCACTAAATTTATTGGAATAATTTTACTAATGTGGACTTCTATGAATTTAAACAGCGTCTTATTCACTCGAATCAAGACAATCAGTTATTTTCTTTAACCATTACACTTTATCAGGCATTGAGCACACTGTATATTACTTTCTCTTATTATATGATTATAAAATATATATATAGATGTTCCATAATAAGTAAATTATGATCGTATTCAAAGAAAACTTTAGAACAATTTGTAACTAGTTTGACCACGTTTTAAATATGTGTCTATGTCAACTCTCCTCTTGTTTATGTTTTACTGAGGTTTTTCGCGATATGTCATTGAAAATCATAGTCATATAGGCTGATGAATTATTAGTTTGACAACCTTAATTGCTGGAACTCATCATCACCTCTTATTGTAGAGTCATTGAGATTTGTGTAAATCTATCAACCCTATTTTTGGGTTCATGAATGTCGTATTCACTAATTGTTGCATACAAGTTAGACGAGGGTTTCATCTTCATTATGGCTTATCAGACTTATTTACTTCCATCTAGCTTTCAATTATACACTCCACGACGTGACGTTGTAGACTATTCAACTAAAATAACTTGTTTTTTGCATTACATTTACAGCAAAAACCACTTGTAGGAATATATGTTTCATTCATTTTTCGGCAATCTTTATTTACTTCATAACTGAAATTGAGCTAATAAATTTAATTCATATGGTAACGACAAAGTCATTCGATATTTTAGTCCAACTTTATCAAAACTCGATTGTTCCTAACATTTCCATATTGTTATAGAAAAAATGTAGCATATGTCACGATAATTCAATAAAAAGCCATTCCGTAAACGTTAACCAGTTTAGAAAGGTGAATCGCTTCGTAAAGATCACTACGATTGTTTCTTCATCCTTAAGTAGAACACTTACGCATATATTTCAAATCTTTCAACAAGATTATTGTATTATATAATAAGTGATTTATTTGGTCGCAACTCAGACTTGGAGTGATTGTGTACTATTCGTGAAACTTGATTCCTTTATGTTTCATATGTTAAACGGGTTCTCACTTTGGCTTCCCTATTTAGTACAAAACAACCATTTTGGTGTTCTCTAGTTTTCATCAGTTAACTGTTCAAGTGAATTACTCTTTTAAAAAATTCTATCTTGTCAGAGCTGTCATTGTCTTAAGAATGATTATTATAAATACCAAAAGATAATTATCTCTTAGAATCTATTATGACTGTTTGATTATATCTAGTCCGTTTTATAACAATTTTCATTAAAATATTTTACTTTTAATCAACAAACTACTTATAAGTAGCCACTATAAAAATACATAAAAACATATGACAGTCTAACTAATAAATTATTTTTCGACATGTTTTTTAAACCACAATATAATAAAAGGTAAATTATCAAAAGAATTTTTTTGTCACAATTCTTTCATATTCAATGTTGCAAGTGATTCAATCCATAAATAATGTTTTAATACATCTATTGAAATTGTTTTATTTCCTGATATAAATAAATTTATTATTTTTTCCTTTTCATTTATTAAATGAAATCCATTTATTGAAAACCAAAATTCTACATCAATTCTTGGATCTATATCTAAATTAATAAATAATTCTGGTGATTTTGATTCAATTATAATTTCATAAATATGATTAGTTAAAAATGGTGCCATTTTTTGAATGTTTAATAAATTATTCATTATATTCAATAATTTGATTGATTTGATTTGTAATGTTTTTCCAGCATTTTTAGGCCATATTTTAATTTGTATTGGTTTATCTAATAATAATAAATTTCTATCAGATATTATAGAATTTAAATTATTTTTTATAATAATTTGAATTATTCTACCATTTCTATGATTGAAATGGCATAATTTATTTAAATCATTTAAAGATTTATTTAATATATTTATTGGACATTGAATAAAATGTTTTATAGAAATATTTAACATTTCACGATATGTTGGTATAAATGACCAAATTGTATAACAAATTAATTCAAATTCAATAGGAAATAAATTATTATTTTTATTATTTGTATTTGGTATCCAATCAGCTTCAATTATTTCATTATTATGATGTATAGCTATACGTCCCCATTTTGTTAAATCATAATATTCTTTTATAGCATTATAATGTGATAATTTCCATTGACCAACTGAATCTATAGTTGACCAACTAGGTGTTGACCATATATCATTTAATTGCCAATATATTGTACCCATTGTAATAAATTTATTAGTTGATATAATTGTAAAATTTGTTAATTTTAATCGACATTTATGCCTCATATATAAATTGATTTGAGTACGTAAACACATGAGTTGATTTAATTGACTTACATATGCCCATCTAAAATAAATAATAATAATAATCATTTCATTATTAATTATATGCTAATTTTAACTATTAACAGTATATTTACTTAAAAGATCTCAATTAAAAACTTGCCCTTAAATGTCTTGGTACGGCCGAGAGTGTGAAGAGTCCGCCCTCCCTCTCCAAATGCTCTCACATGGCCACGTGTATACAGCCACTGCAAGGGAAGTCCTGTTCACCACCTTCTTGTAGAAGGGGTGTTGTTTACGAAGTCGAGAGGACGAGAAGAGAATGTCCCGCACTTTAACCGGGTTGTTGGACACGGAGAGTCAACCTAGGGGAGTTGGAAAACCCTCATTCCAAACCAATGATGCACATGGGCTCCAGTATCCTGAAGGAAAAAATGGCGTATGAACCAATCGTTGGTCACCGGCTACCATGTGATTGCATCTCCTTACGATGCTCCAGTGCCTTGTGGATCAGACCTTTGGGTCAAAGACTGCATGTGTGGCCCCCTAAGAAAATATCCTGCCTTGGTTTGGGCACCGGAGCAGTATCACAGACCTCACACATGTCAAATGAGATTTGTGTGGCGCATATCTATTTGGTGCCTCCTTGCACCAATATCTATGTGTTTAAATAAATAATTAAAAACTTAATCTCCACAACCCCTATACTGAAAATTATCACTAGTGACTAGATTCGTTAGGAAATTCTCGGAGTTTTAGTGACAAGTCATGACCAGTGGAGCTAGTCCGTGTCGGGTAGAGACAAGTATCTACCTCAGTACAATGGAAGATGGTCGCGCGATTTCGTGGATTCGTTGGGGTTAGATATTAACACCACTGGACGCTGGCTCAGTAGTCCAGTAGGTTAAGCATTCGCGCACGAGACTGAAATCCATGGGTTTGAATCGTGCGAGCGAAATCGTGGATGTGCACTGCTAAGGAGTCCCATACTAGGACGAAACGGCCTTTCAATGCTTCCAGTTTTTCAATGGTGGTCAAACATCAATCGGTTTATGATCTTAATTAAATTCTAAAGTGATTATTATCTAAACAACTGTACGTGATCAAAATATTTAATTATTACTTATTCTCAACATAGATCAATTTAGTATTAATCTGACAAAACTCTTGTTTAACACTGAAAAATTTAACATGATAACTTTAATTCATAACAACTTAAATTGATTTTCGAATCGTAGATTTGATCTTTAGAAATGATCATAAATGTATACTACGTAGAAGTGTAAAAACAGAATATAATAAACTCTTAATTACATATTATTATCAATTAGTATTGACTTAGCTTCATTTAATATTAATAATTAACCAACCTATAGCCTTTTTTTCATTCAAAGATATAAATGAATATATTTTCAGTTAGCCCTTTTAACCAATATATATATATATATATATATATATATATATATATATATATATATATATATATATATATATATATATATATATATGGGCAAGATACTACAAAATAGGAAAAGTGACTGTAATCAGTAATAATATGTTCTATTTTGAAGGGACATAAAAAAAATAACAGATTACCCCATTCTAGCATAAATTAGGTCAACAAATTGGATTAACTCAGCAAATAATTAATTGACTGAAGTTAACTTGTTCTCTTTAGAGCTTTTTGCTCGTTAATCTTTATACTAATCGACTCGATAATCCTTACTATACAGGATTCATATGATTGTACATACACTTTTGAACAAACTGTGAAATCCAAATTAATTCAATATTCATCTTACCGACTGTAATTGCGAATCGGATCTTGTCTATTTGCTGGTTCCGTAATATACTCAAGCGCTAATCTGAGAATTTGATGACCTAATTGATGATGTTGTCTATGGTCCATCAGTGAACCGAATACATCCCATTGTTTTGGATCTGATATATTTGAAATTGATCTGGCCCAAGCTAATGGAGACGGAATAGATTGTATGCCGAATTCTGATATAAAACGTCCTAGTACATAATTAGATTCTGACCATAAATCACCAGAATACGTGTAATAATGTATATCACCATATAGTGGATTCTGCAGAATAATAAAAATGTGCAAATTTATCTATATGTATTCACAAATCTTCCACCAAATACAACGGAAGATCATCGCGTAATATTGTGGATTGATTGAAGTTAAACATGAACACCTCTAGGTCCCGGTTCAGTGATCTAGAGATTCAGCGTTTACGCGCGAGACCGAAGTTCCTGGTCCTTGGTTCGATTCCCGCGTGTAGAATCATGATTTCGCACTGCTAGTCAATCCTACAGGATGAAACGGCTATACAAGAGTTCCTGGTTTTCAACGGTGGTCCAATACTGATTGATTCACAACTTCACTGAAACTCGATAATCGTCACATGTCTATACTTAAAATTTGAAATACACTGACAAGTCAGTCAAGTAACGTAATTCTAGATGCCAAACTATTCTAGTTGGTGAAATCAAAGACATTAATTGATTCAACGTTTGACGAAATTCTAGTACTGTGTTATTTAGTTTAGTTTAAGAGCCGTCAGTAGAATTAGCTATCAAAAATTTTTGTGTCACCAATCCACGTTTTTTGAATTCTCCAAAATTATAGTTATCTAAGTGTTAAACTAATCATTTTGTATTGCTTAGAATTAAACATCGATATTAATACAATGACTATCTTTCATACTAAATAGAACAGCAATGATTGCCATATTTTCGTCGTTCTAAATCGATTTCTTAGTCACTAGATTGTAAATGGTCTGCACAATCCCATTTTAGCACTACAGACCGAATCGCCAATTAATGAACTTTCAAATGAAACTTCACTGTTCTCTCTTACTGAATTTTAATCAATAAAATTATTATTATTGACTTCAAATAATTGATTGGTTACTAAAAGTATTGATTGTAAATCTATACAAACGAGTAAACAACAAACTATTTATGTTAACCGACTAGACAGTGAACATATGAAGTTAAAATCAAATATCTCACACGCTACTGGTATAATTTGAAAACTTTTCACTAACTTATATTTTGATCATACTATGGTGAATGCTATATATATTGACAGGCATAAGTAGTATGTAACACTAATCAGAAGTGGAGTGCCTGGTAACAGAAGGTTGAGAAGTTCAAGTTGGAAAGAAAAGGAATGTAAACAGAGAGTAACCTTAATAACAATAGGAATGAAAGAACGATGACGTTTGTAAGAGACGATTGATAGAAAATGTGCAAATGAAGTATTTAATGTATGGTTTTTATATTTTGTGAAGATATTGGTCTTCCCCGCCTTAGTGTTCATTCACTGCTATGTCATCTATCAGTTGAAATCAATTCGTGAAACATAGATTGAGTACAAGGAAGTATGCAACAACTGAATGATCATCAACTAATCAAACTACCTTAAATTAACTTTTGTAATCTAAGTCTGGGAAAATACTAAGAACGAAAATTTATGACTCGTGAATCAATCTAATACTACTGTCAATTCAATTTAAGTCAGTGCTCCAGTATAAACACAGACTCGATTAAATAACATCTGATGTAGTTGGAATAGATATTTGTTTTCAATCCCAATTTAATTGATCTCACAGATTACGGCTTGTCATTACAACTATCTTGGAAAATTTACTATAATGCACCAGATTGGAATTCAACGAAGGGATTTGAGGAGACTGATTTAGTATTAACATCTACTTCGTTATTGATATAAACTGGAGAACGAATGAAAACGACGTTATCTTCTATAATCTCAACATCAATCAATCAAATAGTTTATACCTGGTTTCAGATAAAAAGTTAGAGTAGTTTTTTTCTGATAGTCCGATCCGATTAGTTTACATCTTTTTAACAGCATCGCCACTCCGAACGATAAGTGACTTATTTCTCGATGAATTCACTAGGACACCTATTATCAAGATTTCATTCATCATATACAAACACCAAAAATTTTGGTGAAATCTCTGTCAAAATTACCTACAGAGTATCCTTTACTTCTTTTATAATATCTATATAGTTCCAGGATATAACATACTTGGTTTTAAATCCACCTTTATTCAATTCAGACTGTCAACGTTAAATAACTTTATTCCTATAAAGGTACTTTACACTTCAATGAAATAAAAAAACTAGAATGGTTTAGTTAATATCTTGCATGTGAATGTAAGTTAGCACTGTAACTAATTCACAAATTTGTTTTGGATCCAGTTAAAGGTGAAGAGTTTGGTGTTACATTTAATGTCCTACCCACCTGTTTCGCTGTTCTTTAATGTTGGTGATTACCTCGCCTTCCTTGCTTTTCACTGGTCGCTCTCGTGTGCGGTAATTTCCAGACAGTTTATTTGTTGTGTCATACAATTGTCTCATGTTTCCTTCTCTTGCAGCCTTTTCCGCCGTCATTACTATGTATTCCATATATTTATGTTTGTCAGTTCTGATGCTCCTCTTCGCTTGCTTGTTTAATTCTGTGTATTCAGCTTATGCACATACTAGACAAAACGGTCGTTTAGTGCCTCTAGGTTTTCACTGATGGTCTAACATGGATCAATTCATGATCTCAACAACCTACAGAACCCTATACTGATAATATTTTTTTTATTAACCAGTTGTTGAAATTATCGGAAAGCAATTTTAATTTTAGCAAAACCCTACCTCACTGATAATAAGTATTAGAATTATCACACATTAATTTAATCTTCGATATCTAAACAAAGTAAATTCATACACATATAGGATGGGTGACTGGATTTTTCGGAGGTGAATTACCTTTCTAATTATATACAACTTATTTACTTACTATCAATTAATTGATTACATTATATTCATTTATTCTCTGGTTTGTTTATCAATAATCTACCATTTTTGTGCATTCATATCACATACGCATGTATTTTTGGACTGTTTTCTATGTTGGTTACTAGGACCAAACATAATTATTCGTTTATATTTATTGCCTTAGTATATGAGTACCACTTACTTATCATCAATTCATCATCTCCTTAGTAAATTATTAAGAATACAATTTGTTGGGTTTTTTTTGTTTTATACAAAAACGTCTCTCCATAGCTATTCATTTTAAATATATACAAAATAAAACAAAACTGTAACATTACAAAGAAGAAATGGGCAAATTAATTACAGGTAGGCATTTAAAGTATTAAGCCAAAATGAAAATAGGAAAGAAAAAAAAATAGCAAACAACAACAATCTTTAACTGAACAAAATGCAAATCTCACATAAAACATACTTCGACAGGTGTTAAAAATTAACTAATCAACTAAATAAATAAATAAAACCTTATTGAAACTCTTCATAAAACTGTACTACACTTAGTAGCTATGGTAATATTTATTATTATTATTATCGTTTCACATCTTCATTCCATAAAATTATCTCATATGTATCCATGTCCGTATGTATAAATGTGTATATATTTTATCTTTTTAACATTAACTTAACATTAACTTAATCATTTATAGAACCTATCATTTTTATTTATATTTATAGAAGAGGTGAACACTTTATTGTGAATGGATTTATACTAAGAAAAGCACATACATGAGATGGGCAAGCATTGGAAAAGGTGTATCTATATATCTTTTTGACTTGGTTGATGAATAAAATTTGAAATGTTTAGCTAATAATATTATATATATAGTTGATTGAAACAAATTAGCACAAATGAAGATATACATATCAGGTCATTAAGTCAATTGATGACTTATAGAAACCATAATTTCATACTGTATACATTTAAAACATAAATGAGTCATAAATATATATGTTTAATCAATGTTATTATAAACATATAACTAAGGGAAATGGGAATAATGTTTTCCACATTAAACTAAAAACTGAATGTGTCAAACTAATTATTATTACTATCATTATTATTATTGTATATTTAATTAACAATATCAGTTGGTGATTTGTTTTATTCGATTAATCTTAATTAATTTATTAGATATATACATATATATGTATTACTACGTACAATAACTTTTTATTCAGTACACTATATTCTTTTTTTTGATAGATATATTTCTTCATAACTTTGTTTAACCTTGCAAATGATACATCAAAATAATGAATGAATGAATGAACATGGTTTAGTCATACTTTGTGTTGGGCAACTAATGAATCAGTACATATATATATATAATTCTTATTTAAAAGTTCATAATTCAGACAGTAATTACAAAGTACATAAATATATATCCGAATTCCGTATTAGTTATTAATGAAATATAAATACATCATTTTTGTATAATTTCTATGTATTAATTAGGTAATAATGTAAGGAATATTCGAATTGCAAAAGAAATAATATTCTTAATCTTTTATTTTTCTTTTTGAATTTAAATAATTCTCAAAATAAAGAAGGAATAAATTGAGTGAAGAAATTTCTTTTCAAGCCTCTTTTGAATTCAAAAGAGATTCGTACAATCACTTTCTCTGCCCTGGCCATCAGTATAAGATTTCCTTCAAAAGAACTATTTTTCATACTTCTTCCAGTTGTTTTTTTTTAACTTTTGTAATTTTGTTTCTATTGCTTTTGAACTTTATAACTTCTCAACATTCATCTCTTAATTCTTACATAACTACTATCCTATTGACCATCCATTAAAAAATTCTGTTCCTTCTCTTTTTATATATTAAACAACCTAGCAACGTCTTGATTTTCGAATGATTACTTTGATTAATAATACTCCTCTTTCTTCTAATTACTCAATGTTAATTTAAATGTCATTATGTAATTATTACGTAACGTATCCACTCGATGAGTATAATATCATTATTGAAAAGAAATTTCTTCGCTCAATTCGTTCTTTCTTTATTTATCAAATGGCGAAATGGGAATTTTCACTATAAATTCTCAAAATAATATCAGTTTATGATAAGTATGACCTTCAAATTATGTATTGTACATTGAAAATTATCTATATTATTTAATTTATTGTTGAAAGTGAATATCATTCTAGTTTAATACTCATTCAATGGTAAGATTTCATTGTATTTCTGTGAATATCACTATGTGAATTGATTTGAGTAAACATGAAATCCTTCAATTGATTTCTGTACTAAAGTATAAAAATAGTTAACTATGTTGAAATCAATTCAATTCTCCAGTAGACTACTGACTGGTTTCATACTACTTACATTAGTTAGTATTTATTCTTAAATACTCAAGTAGTATTTATTAAATTTGTCTAAAGTTAGATTTGAATCATCGTTCGTTACCAATTAAACGCAAATATGTAAAAAAAAGGTGAAAAGTACACCCAATTCTGAATAATTCCAATCAGTTTTCGGGCTTGTCTCCTTGTAACATCAAAATGGTTAGTTGGGAGCAAATATGCAACTCAGTAATTTAAATTAAATCTGATAACATTGTAAACTGCCTATATGTATTCAGTTGTTGATTAGTTTATATTAACTACTGCCTAATTCCATTTATTCAAATTCACCTTTTGATCAGATTGATAAAATCGCGAGTGATTCATTGTTATTTTGATATAGGTTCTGAATCAGTGGTAGATCAGTTATATATTTGGAGTTGGAGCGTAAATATATCTCTATCTGCAGTTTATTCCTCATTTTTACATCGAGTCATATCAGTCTTTTTTCAGTTATAAAACGACAATTAACAAGTTATATCCTCAGGATACAATAAGTAGCTGTACCAGTTTTTTTTCTCTCGCCAAAACAACTTTCGAATGGAAAAAATAAATATTTTTATGTACTGATACGAGTGATTGAGTAATCAGTGTTAACATGGACGATAATTACGTTTTTAAAAAAATATCTGTCGGCATAAGATGAAGGGTTTACACCAAAGCAATTCCATACATCTGAACAAAGCTTATTATCCACTTGACATAATCCAATTTAAGTTTGTCACTCACTTGAACATGGGGTTATAATAATGTTATGTAATTGTAAATGAGTAAATAATTTCTCCAAACCTAAAGGTTAATAATTGTTTCGATTTTATAATAATTCTTTGTGTTTTCTAACTATTACATTTAAAGTCAGCTAAGATTATTTTACACCCGTCAACTTTTTTAATTTAAACTACTTGAAAAGAAAGCATTTTCTTCGAAAACTCTTGAAATATGATCATTTTAAACTTCATCCACATTGTCCATGAAACGAGAGTTTATTTGAAATCTTCTCTCATGGATTTACTCAGCTAATGATATTTTAATATTTAACTCCTTTATCCATTCTAGCGGAAAAGCATATTCTATATAAATGTCATATGAAAAATCTAACAGTATAAGTTTATTTTCAAAATAAATTTTCCCAGTCCCCAAATAATAAAAATAAACAAAATGTAAATTAAAACTCAATTGACAGTTACATTTAATAATTGAATTAGATAACGTCGACTGCTTAGCTACTCATTAATACACAGATTTAAATTATCATACCTAACAGACAAAATTTAATTTTCCGATTAAAAACTAAATTGGGTTTACTAGTAATGAGCAAAGTATTTTTTTTCACTAAATAGTTAAGATTCTATTTTACTTACTTACTTACTTACGCCTGTTACTCCTAATGGAGCATAGGCTACCGACCAGCATTCTCTAACCCACACTGTCCTAAGCCTTCCTTTCCAGTTCTATCCAGTTTTTGTTCATTCTTCTCATATCTGTCTCCATTTCTACGCGTAATGTGTTCTTTGGTCTTCCTCTTCTCCTTTGGCCTTGAGGATTCCATGTGAGGACTTGCCTTGTGACACAGTTTGATGCTTTCCACAATGTATGTCCTATCCACTTCCTGATTTTTTTCCTCCACTGGAATCTGTTTTGTTCTCTCCCTCAATAGGTTGTTACTAGAGCCTGGAGTCAGGAGCCCTTCTGGGAATAGTGCCGGTCCCAAGTCCGGATAAAGGAGGATGGTTGGTCATGGGGTTAGCAACCCCATCCCGTAGAAAACTAACTCGCTGAAAAATACTAGTTAGAAATCACAATTCAAGATTCTATTTTATGAATCCATAATTTATTCGATCAAGATTTCTTTTTTATTAAAACTTTCGGGTAAAGATATCTTACTGTCAATTTTTAGAAGAAATAACAATTATTACAAATATCTAAGTCATAAATTTGATCGCATTTAACGGTAATGTGATTAAAGTCAGTTTTACAAAGTGTAAATAATTTACGCATAAAAATAAAACTCGCAATTTAAGTTTCCCGCTGAAATAATTGAAATTAAATGTTATGCCCATAGATGGATGGTGGTTAGCAGTGAAACCCAGGACGCGCGTCTCGTCCTATTTGGGACTCATCAGCCGGATCTAATTTGGTCCCGGAGTTTATGTTCACTCCACGACTCATATACCAAAAAGAGACTGATCATTTTCAGCCCTAAACATCAACGGGAAGATTCAAACAAGCAATACAAAATGAACTTAAATGTTATACCGTTATCAAAGTTTCAGAACATAAGAATTATATGTATATGATTGTTTAGATTGTCTCATTCAATGAAAGTTAGTTCACATAACATAAAAGTTCAAAGCGAAATTATTTTAAAGTAATTTTCACTATCAATTAAGTTCCTACTTTGGGACTCTACAGAAGTAAGCTAAAACAAAGTTATCCATCTTGTGGGTGATTACTGGTGAGTACGTGACAATCATCAGTATAGGGTTGTGTAGATTGTTGAGTTTTAATTGAAACCATGAACCGATCTATGTTAGATCATTGAAAACCTAGAAGCACTGAACGACCGTTTCGTTTTAGTATAGGACTCCTCAACAGTGCATATGCACGATGCCTCACATGAATTCGAACCCAAAACCTTCGGTCTCACGCGTAAACACTTAAACTCTGGACCACTGAACCGGTATCCAATGGTGTTAATGCCTAACTCCAACCGATTCATGAAATTGTGCAACCGTTCACCATTGTCTTCAGTGA